AAAAAAAATTGCGGGAATGATAAATCTATCATGAATTAGGGATTAATTAGAATTAATTTATTCTAGTTTAAGGCTAATTGGGGTCCTGAGCTCGGCGATTACCTAATGTTATTTTACTTAGCTTTAACAAAAACTGAAGTTTAAATGTTATCAATTTGTTTTATCGTTCAACAAATTAATAATTCCCGGTATTTATTATCTGAAATATAACTTGTTCTTAATGTTTCCATTCATTTCGATATATAAAACGAATGAAGAAATAATTAACGTAATTAAATTCCTTTTATAACTACTCTTTTCATAATGATAACAATTGGATTTATGATTATTTGAATTACTATTTAATTGCATTTTAATGAAGTCAATGTTCAATTGGAATGTACCTTTTAAGTAACGAATTAAATTAAAACTAATCAGTACCGTAAACGTTTCGTCTATTTAAAGAATGTACTTGGATGACCTGGTTTTTTTCTTACAAAAGAAGGAACATGAAAATTGGGGAAAAAAAGAAAAACATCATTTGGACTCGAACCAGGGTCTTCTGGTTTCGGGACCGCCCGATTTTCCCCCACTTGAGCTGTTATTACTGCAGATGATGGCGATATTTACCGTATTCTAGTGATATTTTAACACTTTTTCATTGCCTGAAAATACGGATGAAACAACGTTTCCATAAATGAAACCTAGCTAGATTGATTTATCGCCCCCGAAACCACAGTATATATATATATATATATATATTTGCAATTGCTCGTTTGTAGGTGTTGTAGATAGATCGATGTTAAATACATAGATAGATGTACAATCCTTTTAATAATACTGCTTTACGATTTTTTTCTTGTTTTTATATTTTAACAAAAGGTTTACAAAATTTCTAGCATTAATTGTCTCTGGCTATCAACACTTCGGGGTGGTATCAGCCTAACGATTATTATTTTTTGCCGACCGATGTACATACATCGTCCCGTGACCATGGTCGTTAATTATATTTTGAAAATGTGTGGACAGTTAAATAAAATAAAATTTGGTGTACGTTTTTGTTAACAAACATGACGGCATTGTAAATTTTAAGTCTTTGCCACCGTGCTGTTAATTATTACAGTGTTAAAAGTCTCTTGTTTAGACCGCGACCGCTCCAAAGAATTTTCACACATGCCGGATGCAAATATTTGACAAAAGCTTTTATGGCTGTTGCGTCATTCGCTTGCCATAGCCTTAAAAGTCAGCTTCGCTAATGTCTACCTGTTTTAAACACCGGCTGTGTTATTTTCCATAGTGTTTGTGTTATTTTGATGTAGTGTTCGATTTATCTTTTAACAGTTAATAAATCAGAACATAACCTTTGAAAAGTTATGTTTTGGTTTATTACCTTTGTTTGGTTTAATTTAAAGTTTTACATAATACAATGTTTCTATTTTATATATTAAGTTCAGAGTATCTACTAGATTATTTTACCATGATTTAAAAATAATGAATAGTCCTGTAACACACTTCTTTATGAAAAGTTGGCCAAACGAGCTTGTAGTTTACATGATACTAAGTGAACATAGACATCAACAAAATCCGATGTCTTGCAGATGCGTTGACAACATTTCAAAAAGTATGCCCCGGTTACCCCACTCACAAGAAGACGTGAAAGTTCTTAAATATTTATATAAATTGTGAAAATACATTTTACTTTATCATTATGTTTCGATTACTAGTTTCTCCGCCTTGTTAATCTGGAAAGCGTCTTAAAGGAAAATCAACGCTCTCTTGTGGGGATATCAAACCAGTTACACAGGAAATTCTATCGTATGGGATATTTGATACGTGTATCAGATCTCAATGTCGTCTTGTTTGGCTTTTCTTTATTAGTAGGTATTTTTGTGTGTTTACATTTTGATTTTAAATAAAGAAATCTTGTCGGTGCTATAGATTTGACATCACCTTTATTGATCCATAAAACTTGGTGTCATACAAAAAGTTTGAGTACCTACATAGCTATGTAGTGAGGAAATGTTGTAAGCATTTTTGACATCATGCCAATAGAAGTAGAATTGAGGGTTAATAACTTAATTTATCAAGCTCGTGGGATGGGCTAATGCACGAGTTCATGGTACGATGAAGCTTTAATAGTCTACGGACTGAGAGCAAAGTCATCAAAGTAAAGGATTAGTTAATTATTTAATAGACGAGACTTTTGTCAATATCTTTAATTTAATAAAAAAAATTTAGTGGTAGACGAATGGGCCGACTCACCCAGAGAAGTTAGGATTATTTTTTAAGTATACTTCATCGATTCGTCTTGCTGTCGTTGCAACGGCAAACCAATGGTTATTGTTGGATTTGACATCCACGGGCAGCAAAGAACCTTTAATTGCGCTGAAGAATAAGCAAGTTGTTCCACTTATGTTAAGTGATATTTTACTCTATAAAAAGCAAACCACCTTTTTCTTAATATATTTTCTTTTGTACAAATTGCGATTCCCCCACCAGAAGGTAATGTGTATCGCGGGAGGTCTCACTTACATCATAATCACGAACACAAAGTCTCGCAACAATGATTTAGTGCTCACACAAATTTTAGTCACGTGCGGGGATCGAACCCACATCAATTTCCCGCTGGAATAATCTATGGGATGCCTTGAACATAGGAACTCGGCGGATTAAAATAAAACCATAGAATTATTCTACATTTATCCCAGACTTCTTTTTAGTAATTTGTTAACTGATTTTGCATTCATTATTTACACGATATGAGTATAAAGAGATGGTCCGAACCAACATGGAATGCGGGTGTACCTTGTGTACGCGTTATGTTGTGTGTTATCCATTCCAGGGGATCCGTGCCTTTGTCTAGGATAAAAAGAACTTTCATTCTCTTACAATCGGCTGTGTGCTTTTGTCATGTGATACAATTCATTCACACTTTCTCGGTTCGGTGGTTAAATAAAGAATTTTTCACACTTCGTAGTAGCGTGGACACTTTCTACGCACGTTTACTATTGGGGCGCGGTAGGCAAAGACAAATGTTTGATTGTAGAGTTATTTAATATGAGCCAATAAGGCGTTTGTTTGTGAACTTGAAGCGTCTAGTGCGCAACAAACTAAATGCCGCGTGAGTTAAATGTATATCATAGCTTTATTGTAATATATTTTACATTTACATGCTGACGTAGTTACAGACAAGGATAATTGGTTTTTGTGTTATATTTTTAAATTCAACTTGTTTGTGTGTTATATAGCAGTTCCAAATTAAGCATATAAAATTATTATTTTTATGTAGTCTTTATATCTTGCGTGTACCTAATATAACTGCATTTTTATCTTTGTATTTTCAATTCAATTTCAATTATTTTTTCTTGAACCAATCAACACTATCACGTTTGAGATCAAATAATTCTTGCGAAATGTCGATAGAGTCAGTGTTTGATATATATGTTAAGCGTGACGACGTGACAGTTTACTACTACTGTACTACTGTATAAAAATGTTTCTAAAAGCATTATCAATAACTATTAGTACGGTGGCAAATTTATTTGACATACTTATTTCTAACTGTATTTGAAATGTGGATCTATCGTGGACGAATAAAAACAAATCTTCTAATTAAGGTGCACGCTTAACTGTTTCGCGCATTTAGATTGGAGCAATAGGTGAACGTGTATTCGCAAATATTTCAACCTAAAGCCCCAACTGGATTTTCTGCGGACGACATGTGAAAGTCTAAAAATTCGTCTTAGTTTCGGAAGCGGGTTAACGACTTCGTGTCGGTCTGAATACAAACTAACCGCCGGGCGACTCTCACTATCTACGGTAGAAGACCACATCTAATATTTCGTTATTAGCATATAACACACGTCGCGCGCTGCTGATTTTGATGTTCTCCTTTTGGCGCTTTAGGGGAATAATGATGAGAGTATATTACTACGAGAGGACCGTAGAGCGACGTGTAATTATCACCATTTTGTTAGTCGGATTGGATTTTTTTTGATTCGCCAAAAGGCATAACTTATTATGTATACGTCGTACTAAGTACTCACAAGCTTTTGTTTTGGAGCTATTTTATTAGGTGAAATAAAACTATCTCACGGATTTAATCACGTTTTGTTTTGATTATTAATCTCCGATATTTTACAGCGTTTATGGTCACGGGACAGGCATTTTTCTTACGTCACAGGAGCATTACTTCTCTTTTTATGTGCGTATAAATAACAAACATACGCATTTTTTATGTAAGAAAGTGGAAAATCAGTATAAACTTCTGCTGTTATTTGATGCTAGAAGCGTCGTTGCCCGCATTAAATTTATGCAATGCTGCGTGACTCTATTGACATGGGATCTGGTTCGTCCCATGTTTGAAACGTCTGGTATTATAAGGAAATTAAAAATGAAAGAACCATAAAATAGTTTTACTTTCTAATGAATGTTACAGGCTTTGAAAACATTTCTAAATAGTGTAAAGAAAGTCTCTCGTCAAGGTTCCGAAACGTGGAGATTAAGTCGACCACAAAAACAAATTATGATTGCTTATATAACTCAAACGGAAATGCGTTGTAATATTTCGCAACCAATTTTTTAAGCTTTTGATTTATATATTTAAAATAAAGAGAAGAAAAAATACGTTAACATTCTACTGTATAACGTGTTGTACCATAGTTACTGGCTAGTGTAATTTTAATATGATCCAGTTAATATTTGAACAAAAGAGATTAATTCATCTGTTGAGTGTTCCGATCGAAAGTGACCTTTAACTAAAATTTGTAATAATCCTACAAGCAAGCTTCTTGGTCAGCCATTTTGTTATTTGAGGAATTTCAAGGGATACCTTACCTGCTGAGGGTAAAACTAAGTTCTTCGAAGTTCTTAAAGCACTACTGGATTGTATGGTAGAAGGTTAACAGATAGTCGGAGCTGTTTTTATTATTGTTTGCTTTACTCTTCACTTGCATTCACATTCAGCTTGGGTGAGTTTTTGTAATAATCGTTACAGGAGCTATACTTATTTAATTTTTGCAATGAAAGTCGAGGTCTCTGAGTTGGTCAGTGAGTCTCGCAAATCCTGCCTACAGCCTTCAAGAATCCGGGTGATTGTTTGACGACCTTCGTATTTAAAAAATTAAATCGCAGTTGATTTGACCTCTTGCTCTCTCTCATTTCCCGGAGGCTATATTCCAATGGCTCCGCCTTCAGATAGTTAAGTATCTGTTAAATAATCTTTCACGGAATTCAAAAAAGTTTTATTGTATACATAAAGGAACATCCACATTAAATGTTTGGAAATAGTATAAAGTGGACGTTTAAGAGCGTTGAATACTGTTACAAAGTATTATAAAAAGTGGCAAAAATAAATTATCTCTTCCTATTTTAAAACGTATTTGGAAATAATAAAGATCTCTTTAACGTATTAGAAAAAAAATATGTATTTTCATCGTAAGTTACATTGCACCACACAATCTGTAAAACATACACAGTTTAACTAGGATTTAATCTAACAGAAAATAACACGGTAGAGACTACAACATTTTATGGATCGAAAAAACAAAGAATCCCAACGTTTCGAATACTCACAGGGTATGTGATCACGGGGTAGGAACTTTGAAATGGAGACTTTTTTTTATGCGAAAAGTTGTCAAACGAGCAGACGGTTCTCGTGATGTTAAGTGTATACCGCCGCCCATGGACATCTGCTACACCCGAGGGTTACAGATGTGTTGACAACCTTTTGAAAATTGGGCTCCGGCTACCTCACTCACCAGACGAAACGTGAAAGTATTTGTCATACTTCCACTTTACGCTGGTCTTCTGTGAGGTACCTACCCGGACGGGCCTGCCCATTCGTGCAACAGCCGAGGCTGCTGCGTGGCCCTACCACCGTAAAATCTTTTATCAGTTTCATTTCCAATCCAATCAGCCTTTTGCAGTCCACCGCTGGACCTAGGCAAGGCTTCCCCAAGGGCAAGTCACAGTGCACGATTTTCAGCTTTCCTCATCCATCCACTACCAGCGACCTTTATTTTTCATTTAATAAAACAAACACACGGCTTCATTACCACTTCAAGACTAAGTACGAACGCTATTATTTTTCTCACGTATAGAGAATACCAACACTTAAGATAAATCGTCAAATATTGATTTACTTCCTTCTTTATATTAATAAACTAGCTGTTAACGGCGGCTTCGCCCCCGCGGCCAACGGGAATTAACAATGAGTTTTTTTTAAGTTATACCAGAATATCTCGCAGATGGCTGAACTTTTTCCTAATTAGTTCACACTTATCATTACCTATATTTTGGACAACACACAATATCTTAATAAATTATAGCCCATATGTTATTCTGATGTATAAGCTATATTATTGTAAAGTGTCATTAAAATCTGTTCAGTAGTTTTTGCGTGAAAGAGTAACAAATATCCATCCATACATACAAACTTTCGTGTTTGTAATATTAGTAAGGATGATTGCACAGCCTTGCGGTGGGGATAGCTCGTTCGCAAATTCAACATTCGATTCCATGAAGACATACCTACATGTAGGCACCAAGGTTGAAAGGTCATTCATCTATTTATTTTATCCCGCCTTGAAAAACCAGCTTGATTGATTATTCGTGGGTTGTTTATTATCTTTTGGTATTTTTCGAAAAACCCTCGACATGGAAGCTTTTATGAAAATAAAACCGTTTAAAAACTTTTAAGTTAAACGGTTTTATTTTCTGTTTTTTTTTGTGCACTGAAAACTACAATATTGTTTGTCATCTAAATTAAATGTGTGTACCAAATTTCAGATCAATCTGACAACGGGAAGATGCTTTTTCAATTTCTAATTTTGACTCAAACAAATAAATTCCGTACGTGTCGAGCTAAATAAAACCGTTTAATAATATTTTGTGTTCTATTTTTAAGCTGCTATTATAACGCTTGGATACGATTGATGGAAATAAATCAATAATCCATAATGAGGGGTTAGGGCGTGTCATAATAGTGAATCAATTTTTCTTCCACAGATTCCTTAGTTTAACCGAAACCGTTTTGTCAGTACCACGTTAAGGTGATAAGCCTTCACGTGTTTGGGACTAAACAAAAGGTGAAATATGGACATCAAAACTTGTACATTGATTAAACTTTTGTCACGTGATAAGTTGGGCACTGAACAATATGTGGCATGTGGACTTTTAAATAAAACTAGTGATCCACCCCAGCTTCGCACGGGTGCAATGTATTATACATATAAACCTTCCTCTTGAATTACTCTATCTAGTAAAAAAAACTGCATCAAGATCCGTTGAGAAGACAGACAACGGGACGACTTTGTTTTTTACTCGTATAAACGTTCCACCCCTTAAGAAAAAGTATGGAACATTGAAACGCGTGAATGAAATACGAATAGCAATGTAAATTGGCTCAAACATTTAACATTCAAATATGTTGCGTTATGCTAATTAAGGAATCGCACACTTTGCAATACTTGCTTTTTTTCAATCACAGCAAGTGCTCCATTACTCTGAGGTGTCACTAAAACTACGAGAGGTGTGAAGAACGTTTGCTTGTGTTGTATTTATTTATATTATTAACATTCTCTCATATCTATGTCTATGGTCTTAAAAAAAGAAAAAATTATCTGCAGAGTAATTATAATTGTTCTTTTTAACTGATTTCAAAAAAGGAAGAGGTCCTCAATTCGATTGTTTTTTTTTTATGTTTTTTACCTCAGAACTTTCGACCGAGTGAAACGATTTTGATGAATATACTTAATTTGAAAGCCGGTGCTTTCCATGTAGTCTCATATTAATAATTTCATTGGTATTCGATCTTGGTCTCCGGAGATATTTAGGGAACTCCAAAAAATCAACTATAAAATGAATACAGAGCGAGATAATTGGAGTCGGTTTTTGTTTTTCGTTAGTAAAAATATATTTTATTAAATTTGTTTACTTCATCAACAATGAAAAACTAACATAATTTTCACAACTTTTGACGTTCTTTCATATTCTATTATTCAATTGCCCAATTGCCCAATTGTCCAATTATTTGACGCTCACGTGCCGTGAAAATTAAAACAAATGATTAAAATGCAATACTTTTGAAAATAGTACAAACAATGGTGAAAGGGAATTTGTAAATGGAACCACATATCCATGGCAGTAATAACAAAACTCGCTTAGATTTCTCTTTTCCACTATAAATATATATATAATCACTGCTAAATTGGATTTTGGATAAGAAGCGAGTTTAGCTATAAGTTAATACCGCATATTATATAATGTGGAAAAATGCCAAATGTTAATGAGAAGAGCTTAACTTAATCACATATACTTTAAAACAATCGTCTGAGTAACTGCATTTACGTATTTAGATTTTTCAGAATTGTAGGCATTGTTGCATTTGACGATGTTAAAGTTCAAAATGTACGGATTAGGAGTTGATTTGAAGTTTCTTCAGATGGATTTATATCTTGATTTTGTAAATATTGGCTACAATGTTTACAAAAAATTTGTGCTAACAAACATTACAGTATTCGAATTTATGAATAATATATGCCCTATAATAGGGCAGGAGTACACAAAAAAAATGTAAGTTTAATTAGTCAATCTCTTAACCTCACAATATAACTTTTACGTTTGCAGAGTCCTATAATATAATGTTGTTTTTAGCATGTTGTTGTTTTCTGCATGAAGCAACTTTTTCTTTGAGGTTTGTGCAATAAGTTGCACAGAAGTAGGTATTTAAAGTAAAATAACAACAAACAAACATTATTTTTTACTGAATTGTACTACTTTTATTTTTGTCCTACTTTAAATGATCTTAGCTCAAATTGAACAATGATATACATATTCATATTACTACGGTTGATGAGACATCTCTATATGATTTATTTCAATTTGTTTCCAATGTAATTTTGAGAATATCTAAATGGACTAATTTTATCAAATACACGAGTTTCTTGAAGTGAAAAGCAGAAAATATGGATCACAATCAAAACATTTTTTAAGAAAAAAAAAAATTGTTACAATTAAATATTGTTTGGTATGTAATTTAAAAAAAATTCTTAAATCTTAGAATTAATAATGATTTGACACGTTATACACGTACAGTTAATAATATATTTATTGTCAGAATTGAAGTTGTGAAATTTTGAATTCAATGAGTTGTCGTGACGCGTCGGGAAATGGAAACTCGGCGCCCTCTAGCATAGCCGGGTGCTATGAAGACGTCTAGCACAGACGTCTAGTCAGTTCGCGGCTATCAACGCGCGTGTACCAATCCGCGTGGCCTTTGTCGGCTTCGTGCGAGCTCGCTTAGGAACTGTCAAAACTCGCCAAAGAAAGTGACGGCGTAAAATTGAAGTGATTTATTCTAACGGATTTAATAAAGTTAAGGAGAGGCAGTTCGATTTAATTCCGGGTAAGATCTGTGGTGGTGATATTTATGTGGTGGTTTTTAAACCGTCTTCAAAAAAGGAGGAGGTTGTCAATTCGACTGTACTTTTTCAATGTTTGTTACCCCAGAACTTTCGACTGGGAGAACCGATTTTGAGGAATCCCTTTTTATTTGAAAGCTGGTGCTTCCCACGTGGTCCCATATTATATTTATTGGATTTGGGGTCCGGAGATGCTTAGGGAACTCCTGGTAAATAATTATAAAATGAATACATAGCGAGGTATTTAATGTCGGTTTTGTTTTTCGTTAATAAGAAAATGTATTTTATTTTAACGTCTCCATCTTCGAATATAAAAAATAATTTAAGCTAAATTTTATGACTATACAATAAAATTAGACAATTTACATGTATGTATTTATAATAATAATGTTTCTTGATGGCAAATATTGCTGTTTCGTCCAGGCATCAGTATTTAATTACGACAGAAAGACATTATCATTTACAGATATAGTACATTTTTGTGGCTGCTAATCAAAGGACCGGTTCTTTTTTGTCGTAGTTTGCTCCTAAACGTTAAGAATGTTAAGTTGGCCATTAACTTCTCAAATAAAGAGCAACAATTTGGAGAGGAAAAGCAGCTAAACGTGTTTAATTTTTAATTCCAAAATATCAGAATTGACATTTATACTAATAACACTGTAACTGTGTAATCGCGCAAATACAAGAAATTACTAATAACACTGTAATTATAAACGACTCAAACTACACTACGAACGTACAAAATACCATACGGAGCGATATTCCTTTTACTTTTTTAACTACTTACGTTACCATTGAATTTAATATTTTTTTAGTTTTAATCTACGTTCTCACTGCGGGAATCGAACCCAAGTATTTAGGGCGCGATTCCGAAAGACATTGGCTCGATTCTGACAGCGGCGAAGAACTTCATTTCCATTTTTTCTTGAAAATTTATTGAATTTGAAATAACTTAGCGTTTATTAAGTTTAAAGTTTAAACATTCACTTAATATCTAAACTAGTTTTCGATGACTTTTTAGGGTTCCGTACCCAAAGGGTAAACCTCCGCTATAAAATAATATTTAAGTGGGGCTCCCACTTAAATATTATTTTATAGCGGCAAAACCTCAAAAAATCATGTCTATTGTATAGACATGATTTTTTGACGTTTTTTATAATGTTACGGAACTCTTCGTGCGAGACTCCGACTCGCACTTGGCCGCTTTTTTATTCTGAACCTATTCGACAAAAGAACAGCGATAGCTAATTGTCAGAGCTCGCTTTTAATTGAAAATATCCGACCCAACCAACCGTTGTCGGATATTTATCGTGGGGAGGCCTATGTTCAGCAGTGGACTCAAACAGGCTGAAATGATGATGTTGATGATAAATCTTAGTTCTAATCCGGGTGCCGGCACCAATAGAAGTTGTCAATTTTAAGTGCAAACAAAAACTGACGAATAAGTTTTCACTTTACTATAAATAAATTATAGTTAAAGTGCGCATATACATTTTATTCTGTGCGTCAGAAAAATATGCAACGAATCTATGATATTGTCTCCGTTAACGTAAAAAAATAAAATCAGGATGTTCTGAATAGTTTTACATTGTTACGGGTTATCGTTTGTACATGTTCTTTATTATCGGTTATTTAATTATTTTTATAATCGTTATATTTAAATCCAAAATAGACTGGGTATATTATTATTTATAACTAATTTTTCTATGAATCTCGCATTAGGTTAAAATCATAAAATCATCGCACTAGGACACAAAGAGCACGTATTTTAAGAACGCAAGTAACAGAAGATTTTATCTGCCTCGACACTATGTCCTGAGAAATATTCTACTGTGCAAACCTGCTTTGTGGAATCCGCTGTTAACACTGGTTTTTCCGGCTATACGATATAAAGCCTTAAAGAATTAAAAAAAAAAGCTTATTATTATCTCAAAGGTTAGCAACGTTACCGACAACGCAACCAGTAACTTATGCTACGCGTGTTAATGGGTACCGGTGATAGCCATCGTTGAACAACTTACTCGTAGGTATTTATATAATGGTCATAACCTTATGACCAAACGGTTAAATTGTAGTAGTTTATTGCCTTGTCTCCTTAAATATTAATAAATAGTGTATAGTATAGAATTGTGTCTCCTTAAATGATAGAATCAGGACAAAATATTAGCTATAAAGTCGCTGTGTCACGGAGAAACAGATCCAGAGTTCTTACTTCCTGATTATAGTGTGAGTTTTTAGACTGTAGTGTTCATGTGAATAAAGTATTATAGAAAATAATAAACAACTGAATACTGTATCTGGTTGGCGTTAATGGATGGCCTTCGAGATTAACAACTTTTTAAACAGCAAGGTCTCGCTAGTAACGAATATTCGACAGTCATCAACGTTTTCCATATACACTTTGTTGGACACGTCATAAACTCTGAAGACATTATGTATTGTATTAATATTGTATAATAATAAAATAAATACAGTCTTGTGTGTTATTTTGTTATGTTTCTAAGTAATTTAAATAATGTACAATTAAAAATTTTTACAGCGTTCATGTCTCGAAAGAGAATGTATAAGACGCACTCAGATTACAAGTACATTTTTATATCACAATACGTACTTATAGTATTCGTTTTAATCTATCAAATATTAATATTGTATCAGAACATAAAAATTTATAAAACTTAACATCTCTATATGTTACACATGAATGATAAAATTTAAAAGGCACCGCCGAATATTTAATTAAACCAAATATTTTAACAGTAAGTCACCGAGTTTCTCTATGATACGAGGTAGCCATCCTTCATGAATATTGTATTTAATAGCCGACTCATGACATCTTCGAAAATTTCACCCGAGGGCATGCTCAATTATAAGACAAAAAAAAGTTTTATAAAGTTTTACATATACTAATAATTAACATTTATAACTAAATTTCCGATAAATGGCTCTGTTCTTCGAACCAATCATATCAATTGCATTAAGGAATTTTGCCAAGCTATATTATTTAGTGAAGTGGAGAGATGTTGAGACAATTTAACTACTTACAATACTTTAGTTAAGTCTTTAAACCTAATTTGAAAAAATTAAGCCACGCTTGGTAAACCCCAATAGTAGGTAGTCAATGTTTCCGGTCAGTCTATAGGTGTGCAATGTTGAGAGACAGATAAACAATTTATTTTATGTTATCAACATGCAGCTGATACACATACATACACATACAACTTGCTTATGTACACAGGAAAATATTTCCACTTGGCTTGTTTTATGTTATTGGCATAGATGAACCAAAATACTGAACACATTTCGATGAATACTCTACCTGTCTCGGTATGTATCGGAAATCTAGTATACGAGCGTGCAGTAGCAACTCAACCGGAATGATTGCGTAAAAGGAAATAAATAGTTGCATGCTGCTGTAATTTTCTTTCGTTTATATGTTACTAGTGCTCACATGAACGTTTAATTTAACTTATGAAAGTTTTTAAGTGAAATTAGCACTTAAAAACTTTCATGATATTCGCTGATTAAGTATAGTTCCAAATAAAATTTTAGTGTGTTTTGATTATTTGAAGCGTTTATTAGAACGCCACTGAAGTGCAAACGTAATGCCTTTTTTTCATTACAATACGCGATCATTACCGAATAAATACTTACGTCTACAATGACCTAAAACGATGATATTTTGTTTGTAATGTAATGTTTAATTTATCAATGTGGCTCTTTATTATTTAATCAGCGTTGTTAATTTCTAATACTGATTAGCTGATGACTGATTAAGTTCTTGGAATTAGGGCTATGTATAAAGTTTATAAATTACTCTAGTTAATTTAATTTAGACTAAAATTCGCATCGATGCATTCCGATTAACAGAATCGGTTGTCACTATTCTTTCGATATCATTAAGTAATCTGGAGCTTACAGCGGCTACGGACATTTTTTACTCGAACAGTGAAAGGGATAGTTTGCCATTAATCAAGCAGTGACATTTAAAGTCGAAAAACTTTCCACTCATTATATTATTTGTATATTTTTAGGTCTGATACTGGCGTTCAGTCCAGTTCGGTGTATGTAAATGAAATAAAAAAACGAAGATTATCTAATTAATCATTCTAAGTGGGAGAAGCGATTACAACCCACGGGCTTCCACAACATTAGATCGTAGGTACATTGCCAACTTTATAAATATACATATATCCTTGAGGGTTCGCTTTTTGTTAAAATGGCCACAAGCAGAACGTGCTTGATTACTACGTGCTTTACTGCTATCCCACCTGATGGTTAGTAGCGATGCATAGTGATGGTAAACGCCTAGCTCTGTAAAAGTGTGAATACTTTCTTTGCATCGGCTTCTTTGTAGTCGTGGTTCTTCGCCAGTCGAATCTGCCAAGTCAGCTGCTGTGCTACAGCATATTTAAGCTGTTATTTTTATGTGAAAAGTTGCCAATCGAGCAGGTGGCTCACCTGATGTTATATGAATACCACGGCCCATGGACATCTGCTACACCCGAGGGTTTGCAGATGCGTTGACAACCTTTTGAAAATTGGGCTCCGGCTACCTCACTCACCAGACGAAACGCGGAAGTATTATACTTACACTTTAGGCCGGTTCTTCTGTGAGGTCGTGGTACTTACCCGGACGAGCCTGCCCATTCGTGCAACAGCCGAGGCTGCTGCGTGGCCCTACCACCGTTACACCGTTGTTTTGTAGCCTTATAATAGTAAAAGTTCCTTCTGTATCATTTATTGCCATCTTAATATAAGAATATCATTATGGAAAGATCAATATAATTAAACCAAGGTCATGTCAATGGGGTCAGGTAACCCATGTAAACACAGTTTGTGCTATTTCATTTTTGTCGAGCTCAGTTCTGTCCGAAACATGAGAGTTTTACAGTCTGCTTTAAATTCGAAGTAGTGGTTTTTACATGAAATTTAGACAAACTGTTTTAAAATGGAAAGTTGAATTTCCAGCCCTAAGATACTGCATTTAAATTAACGCCATATACACCTATAAATGCAGTCGAAATAGCGATGTCATGCACAGCCGGTAATGACGCAATGGCGAAATTGCTTTTCGAAGTTAAAAACATGTTTGTTGCCACTAACTCTTACGAAATTATCAAGTTAACTATAAATATTTACGACGAAGGCAGGCCCGAAATGTCCGGGGATTGCTTCAGTACAAATTATCTTTAAATAAGTTTTATTCTGTTTTCTAGTATTTGTTGTTATAGCGGCAATAGAAATACATAATCTGTGAATTCAACTGTCTAACTGCGGTTCATGAGATACAGCACGGTGACTGACGGACAGACAGACAGACAGAGTCTTATTAATAGGGCCCCGTTTTAATATTTGTGCACGGAACCCTAAAAACTGCCCGCAAACCAGCATAGTGGACTACGCCATGTATAATCTTTAGCAAGATCATTGTCTATCGTCAATTATACTATCTCCTGATAAGTCTCTAAGTGTGGTTAATACATACGTAAGTTCTAATGTTGCTTTGTTGGACATATCATATAATATCAAGTGTTAATATTAATATTGACAAATATTAAATTAATAACACGATACCTAATAAACCTAACTCAGGTGGCCCCAAGAACACTAGCTGCACTTCCTTACAGAACGGTTATAGTGAATGCTTAACCTTTGAACGACAAAAAGGGACACCAATTGTCACCAGGTGTCGGTATTATTCTGGGATTGAAGTTTTCCTAATATTTTGTCGTTTCGGGTCCCCGCGGACCAAAGGTGTTTATAGCAAATGATAATACACCATAGTCTACACCATATACAAATAAGAGGCAGATATGACACTAGCGTATTGAAAATGAGGCACTCAAATTACGCCAATTGGTGTAATTATATTGCAACTCTGTAGACTGCTATCTCTTTCCGTATCATACGTCCTATATAATCTCTCTTTATAAAAACATCATTGGTCAACATAGACGACGCATGTCCACACTGCGTGGCGTTTAAAACTTGTTTCGCTTTACATAATATGCCGTTGTTTCTGTATGTTACGGAAGAAGGTAGCAGTCTATAGAATTACACCAATTGGCGTAATTTGAGTGCCTCATTTTCGGTAATTTGTTAGTGTCATATCATTATTCGTATATAATATCATTGGTTGGTCAATACAAAGAGATCGATATTTGACTAATATTTTATCAGGAACACACCGCCAAGAGCGATGCGGAGCAGATTGGGCGTTGTGAAATGGCGTGTACGCGGTTTGAGCGAGCGAAAGTTGAACACATCCGCTAGATGCTACCAGGCAGCCGAAAGCGGGGGTGACATAGGTTTGTGCTTCCTTAGACTGTTTCGAAAAAAGCGGTCACTAAAGTTTTTAAATGTGATGAGGTGGCGAGCCAGCCGGCGGTTCACCTGATGTTAAGTGATAACCACCGCCCATTGGCATTTGCAACACCCGTAGGGTTGCGGATGCGTTGCCACCTTTTAATAAAGTGTGCTCCGGCTACCTAACTCACCAAAAGCAGAAGTGTAACCCTTCCACTTCAAGCCGGTCTTCCGTGAGGTCTTGGTACTTACCCGGAAGGACCTGCCCATTCGTGAAACAGTGAAGACTGTTGCGTGGCCTTACCACAGTCTGAACACACAGGTTTCCTTAAAGGTACAAAACTTTTCCTACGTCTTTTCTGTTGTCTTAATACTCAGTTATTACAAATAATGTGTGATATTTGCTGTCGCATGACACGTCTATTAATTAAATAAATTCGGAACAATTAACAAACCAATTTGAATTCAAATGAAACCGAAATTTGTATATGAGCTTATTTATTAATAAAAAAACATACTTCATAAATTGTTGTTTCAAATCCTGTGATTGTTAAAGTCTTTAAATTTAACTGATCTAGTGTTTTTGATCCGTGAAAAACAGTATTTATTTATACGACACGTCAAATAAACTTTTTGTCCAATAGAGACTAAAATCGGACTAAAAATCATTTCAATCAAAACATGGAGCGCTGAAGTCGTCGGCTCATATCAATTGTCAGAATTGGGAAAGGAATAAAATAATTCAAAAATTACGGTCACTGAGCATAACGGGCTGTACGCGTTGGTTGCTTTCTTTAATTAATGCATTGAAATCTTAAAATGACGGCGAATTAATAAGCACCAACTAGTACTCAACATCTACAATCCATCGTAATTAAGGTATAACGGTTATTTATTACGGCCGTGTTTCTTTCATTACAGTTCCACAAATGCACTTGGATTCCATTTAATTTAGAATCATTATCAACATATGCTTCTATAGCATACATTGTGATGCATTGTGATTGATGTTTCACTTTTTAAAACCTAGAAGGCAATATTTACTATGTTCATTACATTGTATTCAGATGTTTTAAAAGTTGTGAATCATTTGCCACAGATCAGCTAGGAAACTTGATTCCAGGGGCATAATATTATCTTAAATGAGATGTAGCATTTTTAGTTTTTCCACGTACCAACATGACAGATTTCTCAAAGTATTACATACTAGTTTTTCGCCTGCGGCTTAGCTGAAGCCCTTAAATAAATATCTTTCAACCGTTTAAAACACTTTTTACAATTAAAAATAGCCTATGTCCTTTCTCAGGCTCTAGACTATCTGTGTGTCAAATTTCATTTAAATCGGTTCAGTAGTTTTGGAGTGACAGCGAGACAGACAGGCAGACAGAAAGAGTTACTTTCGCATTTATAATATTAGTATGGTTTGATACAGGAGGTAATTTCCCTCAACGGCCTGGCCAATGTCCGCTGCAAGGGCAACGAGCCAGGTCCACCCATGCGGCTGTCGGCTCCGTCTTCGAAACCGTGTCTCCGTCGGTCAAGTCTTGGGAAGAGGTTCCAGGTCCCAAACCCTTACCGCTCCTTGGAAATACGTGGCGCTTCGTGCCATACATTGGTAAGTATTTGCTTAAAATTCTTGAAACCTTGATTGTTTATAAAGTTTTGTGGTTTTCGAATGACTAATTAAAATTTACATTTTTTTACCGTTTATCATCTTTGGGGATGGAAGTACTGCTCTGTGAAATAACCTAGTCATTTGTAATAAAAAAATTATGCTTAGCATTTCAACGGAAGTTTAGACTTTATTTGAAAGGGGCAGGAAGAGAGGCATAATAAAAATGAAGTTAATATATATTGAGGTCAGAATAATAAAAAAAAAACATTTGTAATAATAAAAAAACAAAGCCGATTTTAAATATATTACTCACCATACCACCTTCTATTTGTTACTTACGTTGAAGTTTTGCTGGTTCAATTTGTGGGATGGTTAAGTTTGGTAAAATCTATCCGTTTACCAAGCTAATGTTAATATATGTGAAAGCTTGTATGATAGATTTCTCTAAAACGTTAACACAAACATATGCTTACTGACGGACCCACTTTGTAATCGATTAGCCGACGGTTTGCAGAAAAATCAGGTTTCGCTTGATGATGTCGAGCGAGTTTTTGTTGTAACGTGCTGCGTAAATAGTGTACATATGTCTTATCAGTTCGCAATGTCCATGAAACAATCAGTACCGGAACAAAGTCCCAAAAAATTTTGTATATAAATTTTAAAGTTTTTTATAGTGCTAATCTCTGCACTTAAGATTGAACATTAAAACATGTAGAAAAAGTACGAAAAGATTGTCGCCGCTGTGGGAATCGAACGGCAGTCTTCGGCATTCGCGGCCTGACGCTCTAGCCACTGAGCTAAACGGCTGATAACCACAGCGACGAAAACCTTAACGCCTTCTTTCTACATTGTTATTTAGCATCTGAAGCAATGTTTGGCGCATCTATTGTTATATCCTTTCCAGCATACAAACAATTTCGAATATTGTTTTACAACGATAACGCCAAGCATTGCAAGCGAACAGGCGGTTCACCTGATATTATGTGATAAATGTTGCCCATGGACATTAGCAATACTCATAGGCTTGCAAATGTATTGCCACCCCTAAAAAAAGTGGGCTTCGGCTACCTCACAAACCAGACGAAACGCAGAAGTATAACATTTCCAATTCACGCTGAACTTCTTTGAGCTGGTGGGATTTTTACGGACGGACCTGCCCATTCGTGCAACAGTGAATATTGTTGCGTGGGCCCTAGCATAGTTAACCTTCGCATTTTTTAAAGTTGTATGCCATCTGGTAGGAATATTAACTGCCTAATTTTGTATTTATTTTTAGTTGTCATTCAATAGATAAATATTCGAAGCGAACTGAAATCGGAATAATTATATTTCGATCGAAACGAAATTCAAACCAATGAAACCCATTGTTTGTATTACGTTTGTTTTGAATTTTTGTAGATTTAAAAGTATTTTTGAAAATCGTAATCTAAATTAAAAAAAACAACACCATGTTTGTTCGCACGCATCATTTAAACGTGGTACATATATCGACATAAATATAGTGAAATATGAAATTATTAAATTAAAAAAAAAAAAAAAAAGCAACTCGAGTTGAACTCTGTTATTGAACGTAGATACTCGAAATGAAAACATATGCGGTTAATGAATGCGATACGTTACTTTGTTTTTACAACACTTATGAATTCGTCGGTTGCCTTTTCGTAACTGCTTTATGCGATCCGCAGCACGAATATAAATTTATTTCGAAATATGAAGAGCGATTACAAAAATATGGCATCCAGGACAAGGCTGTCATTTTAATTCAATGAGCGTTTTGGTTTGTTCTAAGATTGTCGGACAGATGCACTAATTTGATTAACAACGAAAGTTATACCTAATTCATTTGATAGACATCTTTTTCATCATCTTTTGTTATGTTAGAAAATTATAAGGTAGGTCGAGTCTATATAACATAAAGAATGTGCTTTACCAAAATTGAACAAAATTAAACACAGCTTTCTGATGATAATATAGACAAACGATAATAATAAAAAAAATATAGATTTTAATGTTATTGTTATAATGAAAGAAACTTGTTTTAATTATTAATTTAATTTTAAGAGAATTATGACACACATAAAATAGTAACGGTAGGTAATAAAGACCACTTTAAGAAGAATAATTTCTTAAAGTTGCAACATACTATCCGGCGAAATTTTTAATAAAAAGTCTTCCATTAAATTGAACTATCAGCTGCTCTGTGTTAAATTTTATGAATTACTGGTTAAGATGTTTTGTAAATAATCGTAATTATTCTTATTTAATTTACGACGTCGCTACATCGTGAACAGTTTGAAAAACCGGAAGGAATAAGGCGGTTGTAATTTATATATAAACTATTTTATTAATAAACCCATCACATATTGTCCGAATTATGGTCAAAGGCTCGTACCTTGCGCAATGTTTCTGAAATAAATACTCGAAACACAACTAGTTCTTTAATTCATAGCTAACCTAATATAAATAGTTAAAAAAAAGTGTATTCATAGGCATAAAAATCAGTTCCTTCAAAGTAATAATATAAAAATTAACGATACGACTGTAAATGTTTTAATGTTTAGAAAATGATATTTTTAGGGAAAAATAATACTTTCCATGTGAAAAGCGGCAAATTGTTTAAGCAATAAAATACAATAGGCCCATACTTGTATCCGTTCCCAGAGAATTATTGTTTAGGCAATTTGCGCTTCTCTATCTTTCCACATGCTAAGCGTCCTTTGTGTTCGAGGTTGGAAATCGTTTTTTAAATAACTTGTGCCGTGCCGGGGCGACAGTCACTGCAGAGAAATCATCGGATATTTCTCAACGACAATTAGTCGTTTGTAAAATAACGTATATAAAAATATCTAACCGCCGCTTTTTTGCTGTTGTAAAATTTGAATTCATTATACCACAAAAACAATTTTCTTCGATGCGGACTGAGATGCTTGACGTTCATTAAAACTTAATAACAAATTCTTAAAAAAAGTTTCAGTTGATCGTCTCGACAAAAAAGTTTGTTTACTATTTTTATATTTACACCGAAGCTATTAAAGATTTACATACATATAATTACGTATTTACGTAACCATGCCAAACGTTTTCAACTTGTTTTAATTTACATTTTAATTTATTTAATATTTCTTATGTATTTCGTGATTAAAAATTATAATTGCATTATGTTATCCTCAAAATTCATCAATAATTGTCAGCCGTGACAAAAACATAAAGCATTAATAAAACGGCGTAGTTAATTTCAGTCAAACAACTAACAAAAATCACACACTATTGAAATATAAATTGGGTGTAATTGTAGTAGATCTGAGTACAAGATATATTACTCTATAGCACAAAATGGTGGCATTCGGGTTGCACGAGGTATACCTACTCTCACAGAGAAAGTAAAGCTGAGAAAAGTTGAATTTATTTTATAATAAATTACACGACTTTGAAATTCGCATAGGTGCAGGAATTTTTTTTTAATGCGAAAAGTTGTCACGAGCAGACGGTTCACCTGATGTTAAGTGAATATCGCCGCCCATGGACATCTGCCACACCCGACGGTTACAGATGCGTTGACAACCTTTTGAAAATTGGGCTCCGGCTACCTGACTCACCGAAACGCGGAAGTATTTGTCATACTTCCACTTTACGCTGGTCTTCTGTGAGGTCGTGGTACTTACTCGGACGGGCCTGCCCATTCGTGCAACAGCCGAGGCTGCTGCGTGCGTTACTCCTTACTAATATTATAAAGGCGGAAGTTTGTATGTATGGATGGATATTTGTTACTCTTTCGCGCAAATACCACTGGATGGATTTTAATGAAACTTTACAATAATATAGCTTATACATCAGAATAAGACATAGGCTATAATTTATATATATATTTTATGTATATCTGTCTTTCTGTCTGAATGTTACTCCCAATGTTAGCCTATTCTACGCAGACGTAGTGGCGGGCAGCAGCTAGTCAATTATAAAATGAATATAGAGCGAGATTTGAAGCCTGTTTTGTTTTCAGCAACAACAGGACTACTAATTAAATTGCTTTTAAGGTTTATATTCCAATTGCTTTTTAAAGGTGGCTACTCCGTAGAACATGTGGACAAAGTGTGCATGTCTCTACGCCAGAAGTATGGCAAATGCGTCAAAATGGCGGGCTTACTTGGCAGACCAGACATGCTTTTCGTCTTCGATGCGGGCGAAGTGGAAAGGGTGTTCAGAGGAGAAGACACTGCGTCCGCACAGGTGTGTTTAATATATTCTACATGTATTATCATTAAAAGCGATATAAAATTTACAGCAAAAAATATTTAATATGTAAGTCCACGTGTAGTTATTCTGTAGCTGCACAGCATTTGTACAAATTGTTCATTTTTCTTTCATCGTAGAATAGATATTAAAATTATATATGCCTTTTTAGTTAAGGCATTTATTTGGCAGCATAACTTTAAAAATCTTATGAGATAAAGAAATAGCTTCTGTTGTTGCATGAATGGGTTGGCTCGTCCGAGGACATAACACGGCCTCATACCGACCGCTATTCCTTTCATTTGTTGCGTGAGGTACAGTTTTTAAGTTTGGCAACGCGTTAGCATTCTTACTAGTGTTCAAGATGGCAATGAGCGGCGGTGATCATTTAAAGTTAGGTGCACCACCTTCACTTGTAAACTGTAACTTGTAAAGAATAATTAATAATCTGTTTATGCAGCCCAAGACAACATCTTGGATTGAGATGCTTGGACGTCCGTAGAAACTGAAAAGATCTACGTAAACTGTTCATAGCTATTGGTCGGAAATAATAAAGTCTTTGTCGTCATAAGACTAAACTGTAATGATCATGGCGCCTGGGAACTTTTTAAGCAAATGTCATTAAAATGTGCTTTTTCTGATAGGCGCTTGAATGAAGTATGCAATATTTTTTCATATATTGTTACGTGTTCGGGGTTCGAAGGATTTGGAGAGAAAGACCTGCTGACTCTTTTGAAGACTTTATTTACGCGCACTAGGTCCAACACAAAGCACTAGGTCCAAACACTAAGCACTAACGTTGTCCTATTTTGTAGCCAAGTCGTAGGTTTCACTGGTATCGCTCTTGATCACTAGTTTTCGCTCCGAAGTCGCCTCGAAGGTAGCTCAAACTGAACTGTGATCGCTCGCCTCCCTGCGGCTTTTTATATGGCCCGAGACCGGTTCCGGACTAATCCAGAAAGATCCTTCCTGGAACGTACCCGACACGTACGAACATGTTCGTGATTCCGGAAAGTTCGCGAATGTACCCGGTTTTCGAGACTATAGTTCCACAGCAGTTCCTCTAACGCCATCTAGTGTTGAATAGGGGGTTTTATGTCGTCTTTGTTCTTTAGTGGTTTTAATAGTTGACGCTAGATGGCGTTAGTTCCTTTGTGTGTCCATAACACTATTTTATATACTTTACCTCTAAGTACATATCGTAAACGCAGACGTAAACTTTGGATAGATTTCCCCATCAGTTATTTTTTTGTAAATTAGTGTAACTTACGAGTTATGTTGTAAAAGTCGTTACGTTACCTATTATAGCAGTGTAATAGTTAAAGAAAGCAATAAACACGAACAAAAATATAAATAGGAGCCTAAATGAAACGTTTGTATAATTTACTTTAACATTTTAAACATTTTAATGCTCGAAAGATTTGGTTGTGTTCCCGAATGATTATTATATTGGCAGATGCCCTACATCTGCCAATATGATAATCACTCGGGAAGTTGTTGAAGTGCATGTTTTAATGCTTACAGTTAACAACGTTTAACACTCATTTCAGGCCATCCATGCCGTCGCTGAACTATTACAAGCACACTTTAAGAAAAGACTTCTTCGGTGCCGAAAAGGATTGTGCGGGAGTCATTGCCGTGTGAGTTTGTTCTCGTGCATGTTTGGTAGTCAAGCGACGATTTAGTTAGTCACTGATGTTACGGTTCTTTTGCAATGCCACCTTTCCTAATTTTACTCTGAAGAAGCTAGATCCATCTAGAACCATCATCATTACCATTTCAGCCTGTTTGAGTCCACTACTAAACATAGACCTCGCCTATAGTCTGCCAATGGCATTATCTTGAGTCACCTGCATCAATCGACTTTCGCACAAGTTTTCCTCAGCGAGCTATGGAGAGGGCTTTGCTAGGTATTTCTTTGCGTAGTTGAGTTCGCATCGAAGACATCAGCAGAAGAACAGAGATAACCGACATAGCTCAGAGGCTTAGTAAGCTGAAGTGGCGATGGGCCGGCCATATACCGGAACCGATAATCATATGGGAGGAAAGGTTCTCGAGTGGCAGTGTCGTACTCGCAATCGCAGTGTAGGACGATCCCCCACTAGATGGATGGTAGATTATAATACTTGCTCAGTAAGGTCTAGTCGCTGTTGCATTGTAACCGAGTCGGAAGGGGCGACGGACCGACAAATTGCTTTTGGTGCGTGTTGCGAGTTCGTTTTTGAAGTGAAAACTTCTGCAGACACGTACGTTTTTGGACGGGGAAATCTTCATAACTTCGCGTTAACAACATGGCGAAAACACGTGAAATTGGCATTGTTGACGTCAAAATTTAATATTTCAAAATTATACTAATATATTGACAATTTAGTCACAAATAAATCAGGTCTTTTGCAAATTAAATTAGTGTTTTGTAATTTTAATCTATATGTATCTATATGATATAATCCACTCAAAATAAAAATAAACACAGTTGTTCTATTTTTAAATTTTCACTTCTCTCGGCAGTCCTCATAAGTGCTAATTTTTTTTAAGTTGTCTTTGACCTTTCTATTCGCAGTCACGGTGACCAATGGGCCGCATTCAGGACGAAAGTGTCCAAAGTGGCTTTGAGCACAAGCAGTGCTGCTCAGTATACGGTTCCGGTAGCTGAGGTTGCCGATGCTTTTGTTAACAGGTTATTGATTACACTTTTATAAAAAGTTTAAAGACATATACGTTTCTATGCCTTAGTTGGTTTTGGCGATTGTCTTGGATTCAAATGGCCTTTCCATTAGAGAACCCATGAAGTGACCTCGTTGAAGATTAACGTCACACTTGTATATTTCGTATATCACTGAAACTGCTTCAAGAATATTGCTCAAATTTTGTATTGAGATCATGTTTTGCCTTTTAAATTTGTCACTTTTAACACAAAAAGTGAAACGCTTTTTTATTACGAATTTTGTGTGATATTTGTTGCTGATTTTGTACAGGAATTTAGTGATTCACAATATTTTTTATTATGTTATAAAAGCCAATACTAGCGCAATAGATCAGGATCACACTCGTTAACCATATTTTTGTGCTCTAATATGTGTAAAGTTATCATTCTTACTTTTGTACTTAATACATACTAATTAGAGTTAAAAAAAATGAATTGCGCTTTGATATTTCACGTGCACGCCCTATAAAACCATGTTATTACAAATGAATCGTAACACTATTAATAGTAATTCATTGATACATACGCTACATAACAGCAATACTTTGATAGTTAACATAATCATATTAATATAATTATTTATATCAAATAACTTGTGATCTTATTTTAATTTATTTGCATTTATAACAAGCATGCGCGTGCAGTTCAGTCTCTATTTATTTATTCACAGGATTCGTAGTATAAGAGATGAAAATTCAGAGACTCCAGGCGACTTCTTAAACGAAGTTCACAAATGGTCCTTAGAGTGTGAGTAAAATATTTTTTTACATGTTTAGCATATATAACTTAGAAATTAATTATGATAAACCTAATGTTTTTACGAAATCGTGAGTTCTGCGTTTCTTCTCGAAGGAAAGAATAAGAATTAATGCATGCCATATGGTACAATATCTATGTGAATTTTATGGTATTAGTTAGCTTCAGTATGAATATAAAAGAGAAATACCACTGAGTACAACAGATTGTTAAAAGATGGTGCCTTCTACATTTAGTCTGCAATGAAAGACTTTTGCCGAAATCTCTTGTCTTAAGCTATTTGTTTAGGTATTTTTCGTTATTGGCGGGGACATTATCTCCCAAATGTGCCACTCACCAATTATGATAAGATTAGACGTAAAACAACTCGTTTGAGAAATACTTTTTTTTAAATATATAAAAACATTGCCCTTACTTTAGGATAACATTATCCTGTGTTGTAAGGACGTTTTTTTACAAACATAAATTTCACGCGGACGAACACCCAGATACGAAACGACTATATTGTGGGTCACACAAATAGTTGTCCCGTGTGGGGATCGAAACCACGAACCCCCACGCCGAAACCAATACCTTGACAACTGCGCCACGGATCCATCATAATAAGGGTAATAAAAGCAGATAAACTATAAAATAATTATTTCATTCTGCACAGCTTTGGGCCTGATAGCATTGGACACGCGGCTTGGTTGCTTCGAATCCGTCGAAGGGTCCGAGGTGCAGCGACTCATCGATGCAGTACATACTTTCTTCATAAGCGTAGGCGAGCTCGAGCTGAGAGCGCCCTGGTGGCGGATCTATCCCACGGCCATGTTCAGAAGATACGTGGCCGCTTTGGACACAATTCTTAGGTAGGTATTGAGACCTTATTCATTTATTAATTTAATGAAAGCCAACACAAATATACATCAGAGACAAAATAATTAACGACACATCAATCGTTCGTTAGTACCATTAAAATTATAGGTACCGACACCATATAACATAATGAGCGAGAAAAATACAACGTTTAATACGAAGTTGCCAAAAGTTAATCAAAATCATAAAAATAAATAATGAAAATAGATAGATAAGATAATTACATCACAAAGTGAATTAAAGATTATAGTCCATATTGGTCATTTATGTATAATCACTTACAAATTATTAGGTAAACGAGGAGAACATGATATATTTTTTTGTCCATAAATAATAGTACCTGGAGGAGTTTTTTTTTGGTAAATCATGTATTTTGGAAATTACATTTAGATACAAATTACACACAAGAATTGCTCGTTTAAAGGATAAGAGATATGAAATCATACAGAAGTTTCAAGTTGCATGAACTGTATATTAGTGCCATATACTTCGAAGTAAAACGTTACGAGTACTAATTGTTTTAGCGTCACCTTGACCCACGTGGAGCGGGCATTAAAAGAGTGCGAAGCTAGCGGAAGCAGCAAGTCCCTGCTGCAGGACTTGGTGTCCGCGGCGGGCTCTAGGGTTGCTGCTGTGGCGGCCCTAGATCTCTTCCTAGTGGGAATCGATACGGTGAGAATCGATGTCTCCTGCGGAGAATACTGTTTCAATAAAAGAATGAAATTTGCTAGGAGAGACTGCAAACGGTTTTTTGCGCAAGGAGGAGTTTGAATTAGTAGGGTATGGATATGGTGTGGTCGGCAGAGGGCAGGTAATATCGCATTTTAGGGTGCAGGTTGGCAACAGATCTGCAATCATAGGTGTTGTATATGTCATCATGAAAACATCTACCTGACAACCAATTTTTTACCTAGGAAAATCGAACCATGAACAGTTGCGAGCAAAGTAATAATCCCATTAGTAATTTTATAAATATTAATTTATATCCATATGTATTACTATACATGTACAGGTACTACTATTATTCTTTGGTTGATATATTAGTATTGCCCGTTAGCTCGCGTCGCAAAAGTCATATTGTGAATAATGTTCGATGTAAATAAAAAGTAAGTTTTCTTTAGACGTCGAACGCCGTGGCATCTACGCTGTACCAATTAGCCTTACGTCCACAAGTCCAAGAAAGGCTGCACGAAGAAATAACGAAGGTCCTTCAAGGCAGACCTTTAGCACCTGGAGATATTAACCAGATGCCCTATTTGAAAGCCTGCGTTAAGGAGGTACTAAGGTAAATATTAATTTCAAATTCACCGTAAGTTTTAAACACCTTTTTACACAACACAACAATATTTTTCAACAACAACAGTATTTTTTTCACAACTCTTACTTTCATGTTCATATTCAATAAACAATTCATTTTGAACCTTCCTTATTTAAACTTTTATATTACGTTATAGTGATGTTATTGGATTTTGTTTTATTAATAAAGTGATTAATGTCGCCCATGGACTTCTAAAATACCTGTGGGCATATTGTAGATGTGATGGCAACTTTTACGAGAGCAAGCCTCGGTTACCTCAATGACAAAAACTAAACGCATAAAACTAATGCCACCCTACGTCAATCTTCTGGGAACCGGGGATAAATGTGCGTTGTCAATTATTCTTTTATTTTAGGAATTGTATTTTTTTTTCAAATATTTGTGGATTTGAATTTCTCTGATTGACGGACAGTCGGCGAACACAACTGTGATGGAAGAAGGAAGAATAAAGTTTAACCAAAGATGAAGGTTTACCATGCCGAAATTATTGCCCACTATAGAAGTTTTATTGATTACAGTTTTTGGACCACTAATAATGCAATGTTATATAAACTAGTGGAAGCCATTTGGTCGTCGTTCGACCGTAATTAATTTAATTTATAACTTTGAACAATATTAATCTATTTTCAAATACAATACACAATAACCAAAAGAGTATATATGCGTGTGTGTGTTAAATACATGATAGAGTGTGCAATGTTTTCTATATTGAAATGTATTTTTATTCATAATCTAAAAAAAATATTAGCATTGGGTATTCCTTCTCTATATAAACTATAAGTGTGGGAAATTTTATACTCCTCCGTCCCCGCAATTTTCGTAAAAAGGGGTACAAAGTTTTTGCTTTATTAATATATAGATAAAGTGACTAGATATTTTTAGAAAAACAAAATGATGCACTATCCATTGGATATTAAAATATTAAGCTTGAAATTTTTCCATGTTTTTTTTTTTCAGAATGTTTCCCGTCGTGATTGGCAACGGCAGACAGCTGTCGAAGGATACTGTGATTTGTGGCTACAACATACCAAAGGGTGTAAGTAACCAACCATCTTTCAAAAATTAAAAACCGGCCAAGTGCGAGTCGGACTCGCGCACGAAAGGTTCCGTACCATCTATAAAACCAGCAAAAAAAATCATGTTGTGTGGGAGCCCCACTTAAATATTTTTTTATTCTGTTTATTACTGTTCGTTGTTATAGCGGCAACAGAAATAACAGAAATATTATCAATGAAGATATTCATGAGATACAGACGGACATTCAGACAGGCAGACGGCGGAGTCTTAGTAATTGGGTCCCGTTTTACCCTGTGGGTACGGAACCCTGAAAAATACAGTTGAATTTACTTGACCTCTCTATACGGACGTTTCCCATTAAATTAAATTTTTAAATAAATAAATAATATTGTATGGCACATTTTTACACAACATTCTCCAGTCCCACACCAAGCAATGCTTGTACTACGGGTACTATAATGGGTACTGATAACTGAAAAAAAAAACTTGATGACAATTTTCTTTTGTAAATAAATATTATACATATACAAACACCCGGACACTGGAAACACACTATGCTCAGCACACAATTTATCCGGTAGTTGGGATTGAACCCACGCCCTCTGGCTCAAGAGGCAGGTTTCACCACACCTGCCAAACGGATGTAATTAATGTAGAATGTAATTTTTTTAATGAAAATGTTATAGTGTTTAATACACCACTTTACGAGACTTACAACACAAAATATGAAACTTGAAATTGGAAAAAAATATGAACGTTGAATTTGAGGATGGTACGGGCCAAATACAAACTGATAGATAGTAAAGAAAACCAAGACTTTATCTTATATGAAAGAGGGCAAAATCGCGCATCGACAGCATAGTTAAAGTTTTTTGACCTAACGGAGAGGCGGTATAATACACAGTAACCTATAAAAAAAGAAGTTTATAAATACCACCTGTTTTTGACTTTCAGACCCAGGTGATCTTCCAGCACTACGTTATGGGCAATTCGGAGGAGTACTTCTCTGATGCGTCAGAGTTCCGACCAGAGCGGTGGATCCAGCGCTCCACCTACAAGCATCATGCATTCGCCTCCCTGCCTTTCGGCTTCGGAAAGAGGATGTGCCTCGGCAGGCGTTTCGCAGAACTGGAAATGCATATAGTGCTTTGCAAGGTAAATTCTATAAGGTGCATATCCTTAAAGGACTGCAACGCATTTGTAAGCCCTCGGGTGTTGCACATGTTCATGGGCGGCGGTGATCACTTACCATCAGGTGAGCCTCCTGCTCGTTTGCCCCTTCAAAAAAAGGCGCGAAATTTTTGTTTGTATGGGTATTGATTTTTTTTGTTTTCTTTTTTTAAACATCGCCCCCACTGTACGATACCATTACACTGTGCTGTAAGGAGGTTTTACAATCATAAATTTCACGTGGACAAACTTCCCGATACGAAACAATTATCTGTGGGTAACACAAATAGTTGTCCCGTGTGGGAATCGAACCCACCACCCCAGTGCCGAAGTCAGTACCTACCTTGACAACTGTGCCACGGCATCATGTTCTTCGTACACTCTCATTTGTGCTTCAGCGTCGATTGGTTCTTTTCTCTGGAATGACGTTGTTATACATTTTCTTTATTGTTTTGAGCAGTGAACAAAGCAAGTTTTTTTACTGAGCGTTAATAATTGTGATTTCTCTTATTTATTATAAGATAGATAGATATAGATTAGAATAGATAGATTATAGAATAGATTCCATAGCCTGAAGGGCCGTAGATTTTCAGATTTCTGTTATTTTTTATACAAATAAAAAATAATTGACAATGCGCTGAAGGCTCTAGACTCACATATACATAACTGTGTTTATATCAGTGTGCTTGATTGATCTCACTGATTTAAATACCAAAAATATATGTGTTGTGTACATTTGACTCTAATTCCTACATCTATGATTTTATTTACAGATTGTGCAAGCCTTCAAAATGGAGTACCATCATCAACCATTGGATTACCATATACACCCTATGTATACTCCAAATGGACCTCTCAGATTGAAACTCGTTGATAGATAATTATTTCATAATACAAATGATAATGCATCGCTCTCTGTTAATTATATTTTGTTGTAAATTTTCAATTCTTGCCTGATCTTTATTTGTTTGTTTGAAATAACAAATAATCGTTTGTTTCTGATTTTTACAATTGATTAAATCCAACAGATTATAATGTTATCTTTACAACCGACTTCAAATAAAGAGAAAGTTCTTAAGTCACTTGTATTTTTTTTTGGAACGAAGTTCCTTACGGCAGGCTTGGAGGGGATAGGGATTTTGCTGCGCGACCGAACTGAAAAAAATGTGATAGTAAAACCGTAAGAAAAAATCCGTGTAAAAAAGTGCGTGGAATAAAACCGTTAAATGAGACGTGCGCAGGCGCGACAGTCACATAATTTTATGTTGTCAAACAAAAATAAAGAGAAATATTTTGTTATTTTAGTTGATAATTTGAATTACGATGTTTTTTTTATTTTAAGTAATTTATTATTTCCTAAAATACTGAATTTCCTAAATACTTTCTTGTACTTAAATAAAAACTAATCAGCAAAATATAAGAGAAAAATCAAGAAAACCTATATAAAATTGAGCACGATTTTTTTTGCAATTTGTGTCGATTCTAGATTAGCCGAAGGAACTTCGTTCCTACCTGGTGTCCCACGACACCACATCATTTTTATTATCACAGAACTCCGTCATTTATGACCCGATTTTAAAAACTCTTTTTACATGTGATTCCATTTGGCTTCCATGTGGTTTAAGATTAATTTCAATAGAATTGAACCTCGGAGATACATCAGGTAACTCCTGAATGTAAAATAGAAAATGCACAGGGTGTCAGATATTTGAAGTCGGTTTAGTTTTATTTGTTATTAAAAATATAGGTACTTGTGTTATAGCTCTATTATAGATTGGGTATAGTAAAAGAATAAATGTTTTTTATTAAATTTTTCGCCATGATCGTCAATCAATGTTTAGTGTTAATAATTTATCAATTATTTAAATTTTGTAAGTTCATTCGAAAAGGAGTCTAAAATATTTACGTAAACAAAGTAGACATAGTAGAGTAGAAATATAATTTCTATCAAAGTAATATATATTACATTACAAATTTTGTTTTATGGTGCCGCTTTGTTTAAATCTTTAGGAGAACTAGTGTTAAATATATATTTGTATGATGCTGTGTTATGCTTTTGCGATCACTGTTTTAACTCTTAAGACTCGTTTACAAATGATCGTTTTTATTTTAAATTTTTACATTAAACCAGATAAATTCATCAAAAAAGCTTCATATTATAATATGGTTCTATGTTTTACTAAAAGAAAAATAAAAAATACCCAATTTCTTATTGCGTTTTTACATTTTCCCTTGAACGTCCGTAGTATCAGCAAAAATAAGACGTTGTCCTACGTGTACTTACTTCATTTATAAATAACGTAGACTGTAGTTGTTACAGATTCAAGCTGTCACTCTTCGTATATTTGAGTTAAGGGGCATAGCTTGGGTTGTTGCATTGGAAGTAATGTACACACATTAAAAAAAGTTTGCGATAATTACCAAAAGTTGATATATATGTATATATATATATAAATAAATAATAAATAATAAAATATCTTTATTCACATAGGCGCTTGCGCGTTCTTATGAAACGTCAAAATTTTACAAAGAAATTAACACGTTCGTAAGTTACCACCGGTTCGGAAAGCAGTTTCTGTTGAGAAGAAACCGCCAAGAAACTCAACAGTTGCTCTTTTTAAAAAAAATCAGTTTACAATATAATAGTACAGGTACAATAGTCTTGTTTTAGCCTACGGGAGTATCAACAGTATTAACCCCACACATTGGCGTCGTCAAGATATTCGGCAATAGTATAATAATAGGCTTTAGCCATAAGTTTACTTTTAATTTTTCGTTTAAATTCATCAAGTGGCAGACTTAATATAGACTGTGGGATTTTATTATACATGCGCACACTTTGCCCCATGAACGACCTGTTTACTTTTTGTAGACGAAACAATGGCGTAGTTAGTTTGTCCTTATTTCTAGTATTTAGTTTATGTCTGTCACTATTCTTTAGATAATTATTAATATTATGTTTAACATACAAAATATTACAATATATATATTGAGACGCAACAGTGAGTATATTAATCTCTTTAAAAAGATCTCTGAGTGTGTTCCGGGCTCCGATGTTATAAATTGCTCGGACAGCTCTTTTTTGAAGAATAAATATTGAATTTATATCAGATGCACTACCCCACAACAAAATGCCGTACGACAAGATGCTGTGAAAATAACAGAAGTAAACAAGTCTGGCAGTGTCGATGTCTGATAGCTGCCTAACCTTCCTAATTGCAAAAACAGCGGAGCTTAACCTATTCGCAAGAAATGATAGATGGGGACTCCATTGGAGCTTTGAATCTACTGTGATTCCCAAGAATACAGCGGACTCAACAGGATTAAGGGTTACTTTATTCAATTTTAAGCTTTAACTTTGCCTTCTTACGCTGGGAAGGGCAAAAAGAAGGAATTTAGTTTTTTTAGCATTAAACACCATATTATTAATGGTAAACCAGTGGAGGATACGCGAAAATGCACTATTCACGTCGTCATAATTCGATACATTTCGGTCAACCATAAAAATAAGCGATGTGTCGTCAGCAAACAGTACAACATCACATAACTCACTGGCATAAAAGGGGAGATCATTTATATACACTAAGAATAATAATGGGCCCAAGATTGATCCTTGCGGGATACCCATTTTCATGGGGGACCCTGCGGAATTTACATCATTTATAGATACTTTTTGAATTCTATAAATAAGGTAAGAGGCAATGAGATTGAGGGCGATGTCACGAATGCCATAATAATCAACCTTTTGAAGGAGTGTTTTGTGATCCACGCAGTCGAAAGCTTTTGAAAGGTCGCAAAAAACACCTATTGCATCTTGCGACCCTTCCCAGGCGTTATAAATATGTTTGATAAGTGCGATACCCGCATCTGTTGTCGATCTGCCTTTAGTGAATCCATATTGCTCATTGTGAAAAATTTTGTTCATATTAAAATGTACTAAGAGCTGATTTAAAATTAGTTTTTCAAAAATTTTACTCAGAGATGGCAATATGGAGAAAGGTCTGTAGTTTCCTGGATCATTTTAATCCCCACTTTTGAAAACGGGGATTATCTTACTAAATTTCATAAGATCTGGAAATATTCCAAAATCTATGCAGTTGTTAAAAATATTAGCTAAATGTGGTGCAATATATGGCATTATTGTGGTCATTAATTTTATGGACATGCCCCATAGATCCCCTGTATTTTTAAGATTAATAGAATTCAAAACTTACATAATATCATAAGTATCTACGTGATTAAATTTAAATGTGTGTGGACAATAGGTAACATTATTTCTTAAAACGTTAATTGCATCTATGGGAGATGATTTTAATGTACAGGTGACATTAACTGCAATTTCTGAAAAATTGCTTTCAAAACAATTTCTATGTTATATATATGTAAATTTTATGCAATTTTATCAAAAAAGGATATATCTTTAGAAATTTTATTATTATTATTAAAAGTCTCCACTATCTGGATGTTCTTTATTGCTGATGATTACCATTTTATTTATTGTTTTACAAGTTTTGTAATTCCAGTCAAAGTTACAACTTATAATCTTAATGAATTAATAATAATAATAATATACTTTATTGTACACCAAAAAAAGTCAAAATGAAAAAGTACAAAAAACAAAATATTTAACAAAATATTGGTCATCAAAAGGCGGCCTTATTGCTACACAGCAATAATATAAATTTTAGAGCGTTAAGATTATGTACCTAATAGCTGCTTCTAACTGATTGTAATCTACGATAGATTTTTAAACGTTACTTAGTTTCCATTAAATGACACTGGAACATTTTGTACTTAATTTTATTTCTGTATGTTTAATTCTAAATAAAACGAGAGCACACAATGTCGCACACAACAACACACCTGGTTTTTGTTTGGAAGCCGCTAATGTTTTTTTTTAAACTTTTTTTATGTATTATAAACTCTTATTTTATAATAGCTATATGACTGATACGCCATGTATGCACCTGTCTGCTTTGACTGACTTTAAAAGCACAAACATTTTATTCTTTAGCATTTATCCTATTGTTGTAATCCGTGTGTAGGCACAACCATGCCTATATAATGCAAAAACCCGCCAAGTGCGAGTCGGACTCGCGCATGAAGAATTCCGTATCATTATCTTTAAAATCGACAAAAAAATCATGTCTGATGTATGGGAGCCCCACTTAAATATTTTTTATTTTGATTTTTAGTATTTGTCGTTATAGCGTTAACAGAAATAATTCATCTGTATAAATTGCATCTGTCTATCACATTTCATGAGATACATACAGCCTGGTGACAGACGGCCAGACAAAAAGATACGAGTAGACAGACAGACAGACAGACAGAAGTCTTAGTAATAGTGTCCCGTTTTACCCTTTGGGTATGGAACCCTAAAAATTAGCTAATAAACGAGATGCATCCCGAATGATAGTTGAACACTTCGAGCGGAGCAACGTTACAATACGTAAAATTGGATAAATTCAAATTGACACAAAGTTTAGTGACGTCTGCAAAAATACCTATATATTTCTTAAAACAGCGTCTATAAACGGATTCGGTTTATACCACTTCAATCAAGATACGTCATTGCGCCCAGTAACTCCTGAACCTCGCCTCATCTTACGGTCGTGCTCTAGATGCTTTGACCGCCAGACGACGACAGCCAAGATACCGAACACTCTCCAGTACCAGATTAGACAGACTCTATACCAATACCGATAATACCTATTTATATATGACGCATTAAAGACGTTAACGTGGTAAGACCACTGTTTTTTGATTGCATGTGATAAATGAATAAACGTCGACGTGCCGTTACGGTTGTGTCACATTTCGTATAATCGTTGCTTGTATGAAAAGCAAAACGTCAATAATCGTCATTTAATTTTTATGGGAAAATTGTGCGCCGTGCAACAAAAATTTTAATACCCAGAACCTCAGCTGAAACTAGAAGTATATTCCTAGGTGTTTAGTTTTTGTACGCTATGTATTTCTTTTGCTTGACCGTTTTCGGTCTTGTATGTCATATTATATGCGCTTATAAATAACATAATTTGAGGTGTCTGCGTTATAAGGGTTTAGGAATAAAAAGAATTTTGACATTCATAGAATGTTTAATTAGATTGACTTCAAAAGCAATCCCAAATTAAGTTTCATTAGTTATTTTATAACTGGATAATTATAGATAGTAAGAACATCGTGGTTTATTTTAATATGTTTTTACCATCTAAAATAGAACAGTTGTTACACAAAGTTGAGTTTAAAACTATTTATACAATACAATGGCCACATTATAACACTGGCAAATTATATACAAAAAGAATATCACATAATGAGTAAAAATATATAAAAAAAAATCACAATAGTTGTCAATTTAACAGTTTTCGTTTCATGGTAAAGATACTTTGACTAGGGACAGATATTTACAAAATTATTCTCAATAGAATTTTACTCGTCTGATAAACACGTATTGATTAAAAGTGTGCATATACTAATTACGCAAAACTTTGATTTTATGGCACTATTTTATTACAAAATAAAATAGGCATCTTATACTAGAAGCTTGACAAGATGTTATAAAGCTAAAAGGGCAGTGTCAATTTTACATTATAAAGAAATGTCTATATTATGGGATCTTGCAAAATTACATAAAGTTAACGAAAGCCGCTATTGTCTAATAGTTTCAATCGTTTGATTGTGGGATATCACAATAAAATAAGTACTTAACAAGGGTGTTCGCTTCTCAAAGAGGATCCATGGTGCATTTTTTGAATATGTACTCTTTATAAATATAGACGGCTAGAGCAATAGACAAAATAATAAGGAACATGGTGCCACCGACCGCCATATGAACTATTCCTAAACCATCTGTTGCCTTAATAACACTGTCGTTTTGTTTGCTTAAATCTCTGACATTTCGTGATCTTGGTTTTGTTCGTGTAAACTGGAAATTATCTGTAAAAAAATTTTTTTTTATTAAAAACTTCTAGTTACGACGACATTCATTACATCTACTAATGTATCTATTGTAAAGAAAAACCATTGTAAGACAATGAAAACTTGTGAAAGCCATAAATGAAAGAATATAATTATAGGCTTTAAATATATTTTAAGTTTATAGAAGCATCTTGGTTTAAAAACTGGTTTCTCCGTCTACTTACCAACGTCCAATTGAGGTTCGTAGTATTCAACATTTTTATCAGACAGTCTAGCTGTTCTGACAGGATTGACTTCATTTTCTTCGGGGAAAGGTGGTAAATAAGTCGATGGTGGATTAGTGCTACTGGGCGCAAACGGTTGGGGACACTTTGGATCTTTGGATCCGGGATAACAAGAGCTAGGTGTTGTAACAGTTTGAGGGCATCTAGGGTCGTTGCTTCCAGGGTAACATTTGGGAGGAACAGGCGTTGTTGGTTTAGGACAGCGTGGGTCTGAGCTTCCAGGGTAACAATTAGGAGGAGCTAGTGTTGTTGGTTTAGGACAACGTGGATCAGAGCTTCCGGGGTAACAGTTTGGAGGAGCAGGCGTTGTTGGTATAGGACAGCGTGGGTCGGAGCTTCCAGGGTAACAATTAGGGGCATAAGGCGTTGTCGGTTTAGGACAGCGTGGATCTGAGCTACCAGGGAAACAGCTAGGTGGGGCGGGTGTTTGAAGGAGGCGGGCATCGGGGATCAGGTGAACCTGGGTAGCATTTTAATTCGGGTGTCGTCGGAGGCAAGTAAGTTGGTGGATTTAACGTTGTAGGTCTTGGCGGTTGGGGACAGTTAGGATCAGGTGAACCAGGATAACAGACAGGTTTAGGGGATGTTGGTTTGGGACATCGGGGATCATTACTGCCAGGGAAGCATTTCGGAGCTGTTTGAGTTGTAGGTTTTTGGGCAACGGCGATCATTAGATCCTGGATAACAGTTAGGTGGTTGCAGGTTTTGTTGGTATAGGACAGCGTGGGTCTGAGCTTCCAGGATAACAATCAGGAGGAGCTGGCGTTGTTGGTTTAGGACAGCGTGCGTCTGAGCTTCCAGGGTAACAATTAGGAGGAGCTGGCGTTGTTGGTTTAGGACAACGTGGATCAGAGCTTCCAGGGTAACAATTAGGAGGAGCTGGCGTTGTTGGTTTAGGACAGCGTGGGTCTGAGCTTCCTGGATAACAATTGGGAGGAGCTGGCGTTGTTGGTTTGGGACAACGTGGATCAGAGCTTCCAGGGTAACAATTAGGAGGAGCTGGCGTTGTTGGTTTAGGACAACGTGGATCAGAGCTTCCGGGGTAACAGTTTGGAGGAGCTGGCGTTGTTGGTTTAGGACAGCGTGGGTCTGAGCTTCCTGGGTAACAGTTAGGAGGAGCTGGCGTTGTTGGTTTAGGACAGCGTGCGTCTGAACTTCCAGGGTAACATTTAGGAGGAGCGGGCGTTGTTGGTATAGGGCAACGTGGGTCTCTACTACCTGGATAGCAATTAGGTGGTGCAGGTGTTGTAGGTTTAGGACAACGTAAGTCAGAGCTTCCAGGATAACAATTAGGCGGGGTTGGTGTTGAAGGTCGAGGGCACCGTGGATCAGTTGAATCAGGATAGCATTTTAATTCAGGTGTGGTTGGAGGCAAATAGGTTGGTGGATTTATAGTTGTCGGTCTCGGCGGTTGGGGACAGTTAGGGTCAGGAGAGACCGGGATAGCACACAGGTTTTGGAGATGTCGGTTTGGGACATCGAGGATCATTACTGCCAGGGAAGCATTTTGGGGCTGTTGGAGTTGTAGGTTTTGGGCAACGGCGATCATTAGAACCTGGATAACAGTTAGGTCGAGCTGGTGTCGTTGGTTTAGGACAGCGTGGGTCTGAGCTTCCGGGGTAACAGTTTGGAGGAGCTGGCGTTGTTGGTTTAGGACAGCGTGGATCTGAGCTACCGGGGTAACAGTTTGGAGGAGCTGCCGTTGTTGGTTTAGGACAGCGTTGGTCTGAGCTACCAGGGTAACAGTTAGCTTCGAGCTGGTGTCGTTGGTTTAGGACAGCGTGGGTCTGAGCTTCCGGGGTAACAGTTTGGAGGAGCTGGCGTTGTTGGTTTAGGACAGCGTGGATCTGAGCTTCCGGGGGTAACAGTTTGGAGGAGCTGCCGTTGTTGGTTTAGGACAGCGTTGGTCTGAGCTACCAGGGTAACAGTTAGGTCGAGCTGGTGTCGTTGGTTTAGGACAGCGTGGGTCTGAGCTTCCTGGATAACAATTGGGAGGAGCTGGCGTTGTTGGTTTGGGACAACGTGGATCAGAGCTTCCAGGGTAACAATTAGGAGGAGCTGGCGTTGTTGGTTTAGGACAGCGTGGATCAGAGCTTGGGTAACAATTAGGAGGAGCTGGCGTTGTTGGTTTCGTGGATCAGAGCTTCCAGGGTAACAGTTTGGAGGAGCAGGCGTTGTTGGTATAGGACAGCGTGGCGTCTGAGCTTCCTGGGTAACATTTAGGAGGAGCTGGCGTTGTTGGTATAGGACAACGTGGTCTCTGAACTTCCTGGATAGCAATTAGGTGGAGCAAGTGTTGTAGGTTTAGGACAACGTCAGAGCTTCCAGGATAACAATTAGGCGGGGTTTGGTGTTGAAGGTCGAGGGCACCGTGGATCAGTTGAATCAGGATAGCATTTTAATTCAGGTGTAGTTGGAGGCAAATAGGTTGGTGGATTTTAAGTGTTGTCGGTCACGGCGGTTGGGGACAGTTAGGGTCAGGAGACCCGGGATAGCACACAGGTTTTGGAGATGTCGTTTGGGACATCGAGGATCATTACGGCCAGGGAAGCATTTTGGGGCTGTTGGAGTTTGTAGGTTTTGGGCAACGGCGATCATTAGAACCTGGATAAAGTTAGGGTCGAGCTGGTGTCGTTGGTTTAGGACAGCGTTGGTCTGAGCTTCCAGGGTAACAGTTTGGAGGAGCTGGCGTTGTTGGTTTAGGACAGCGTGGATCTGAGCTTCCGGGTAACAGTTTGGAGGAGCTGCCGTTGGTTGGTTTCCAGGTTACAGTTCGGTCGAGATGTGTCGTTGGTTTAGGACAGCTGGGGGTCTGAGCTTCCGGTTGGTATGGGGTAACAGTTTGGAGGAGCTGGCGTTGTTGGTTTAGGACAGCGTGGATTGAGCTTCCGGGGGGTAAAGTAACAGTGGAGCGGCTGCGGTCGTTGTTGGTTTAGGACAGCGTTGGTCTGAGCTTCCATAGTTTGGAGGAGCTGGCGTTGTTGGTTTAGGACAGCGTGGGTCTGAGCTTCCTGGGTAACAGTTAGGAGGAGCTGGCGTTGTTGGTTTAGGACAGCGTGGTCTGAACTTCCAGGGTACAATTAGGTGGAGCAGGTGTTGTAGGTTTAGGACAACGTAGGGAGCTACCAGGATAACAGTTGGGTGGGGCAGGTGTTGAAGGGCGCGGGCACCGTGGATCAGTTGAACCAGGATTGCATTTTAATTCAGGTGTAGTTGGAGGCAAATAGGTTGGTGGATTAATGGTTGTCGGTCTCGGCGGTTGGGGACAGTTAGGGTCAGGAGAACCGGGATAGCACACAGGTTTTGGAGATGTTCGGTTTGGGACATCGAGGATCATTACTGCCAGGGAAGCATTTTGGGGCTGTTGGAGTTGTAGGTTTTGGGCAACGGCGATCATTAGAACCTGGATAACAGTTAGGTCGAGCTGGTGTCGTTGGTTTAGGACAGCGTGGGTCTGAGCTTCCAGGGTAACAGTTTGGAGGAGCTGGCGTTGTTGGTTTAGGACAGCGTGGATCTGAGCTTCCGGGGTAACAGTTTGGAGGAGCTGCCGTTGTTGGTTTAGGACAGCGTTGGTCTGAGCTACCAGGGTAACAGTTAGGTTCAGCTGGTGTCGTTGGTTTAGGACAGCGTGGGTCTGAGCTTCCAGCCAGGGTAACAATTGGGAGGAGAAGGCGTTGTCGGTTTAGGGCAACGTGGGTCTCTACTACCTGGATAGCAATTAGGTGGAGCAGGTGTTGTAGATTTAGGACAACGTAGGTCAGAGCTTCCAGGATAACAATTAGGTGGGGCAGGTGTTGAAGGTCGAGGGCACCGTGGATCAGTTGAATCAGGATAGCATTTTAATTCAGGTATAGTGGAGGCAAATAGGTTGGTGGATTTATGGTTGTCGGTCTTGGTGGCTGGGGACAGTTAGGGTCAGGTGAACCGGGATAGCAGACAGGTTTTGGAGATGTTGGTTTGGGACATCGAGGATCATTACTGCCAGGGAAGCATTTTGGGGCTGTTGGAGTTGTAGGTTTTGGGCAACGGCGATCATTAGAACCTGGATAACAGTTAGGTCGAGCTGGTGTCGTTGGTTTAGGACAGCGTGGATCTGAGCTTCCGGGGTAACAGTTTGGAGGAGCTGGCGTTGTTGGTTTAGGACAGCGTGCGTCTGAGCTTCCAGGGTAACAGTTAGGAGGAGCTGGCGTTGTTGGTTTAGGACAGCGTGAGTCTGAGCTTCCTGGATAACAATTGGGAGGAGCTGGCGTTGTTGGTTTAGGACAGCGTGGGTCTGAGCTTCCGGGATAACAATTAGGAGGAGCTGGCGATGTTGGTTTAGGACAACGAGGATCAGAGCTTCCGGGGTAACAGTTAGGGGGAGCTGGCGTTGTCGGTTTAGGACAGCGTGCGTCTGAGCTTCCAGGATAACAATTAGGAGGAGCTGGCGTTGTTGGTTTAGGACAGCGTGGGTCTGAGCTTCCAGGATAACAATTGGGAGGAGAAGGCGTTGTCGGTTTAGGGCAACGTGGGTCTCTACTACCTGGATAGCAATTAGGTGGAGCAGGTGTTGTTAGTTTAGGGCAGCGTGGGTCTGAGCTTCCAGGGTAACAATTAGGAGGTGCTGGCGTTGTTGGTTTAGGACAGCGTGGGTCTGAGCTTCCTGGATAACAATTGGGAGGAGCTGGCGTTGTTGGTTTAGGACAGCGTGGGTCTGAGCTTCCGGGATAACAATTAGGAGGAGCTGGCGATGTTGGTTTAGGACAACGAGGATCAGAGCTTCCGGGGTAACAGTTAGGAGGAGCTGGCGTTGTCGGTTTAGGACAGCGTGCGTCTGAGCTTCCAGGATAACAATTGGGAGGAGAAGGCGTTGTCGGTTTAGGGCAACGTGGGTCTCTACTACCTGGATAGCAATTAGGTGGAGCAGGTGTTGTTGGTTTAGGGCAGCGTGGGTCTGAGCTTCCAGGGTAACAATTAGGAGGTGCTGGCGTTGTTGGTTTAGGACAACGTGGATCAGAACTTCCGGGGTAACAGTTTGGAGGAGCTGGCGTTGTTGGTTTAGGACAGCGTGGGTCTGAGCTTCCTGGGTAACAGTTAGGAGTAGCTGGTGTTGTTGGTTTCGGACAGCGTGGGTCTGAGCTTCCAGGGTAACAATTGGGAGGAGAAGGCGTTGTCGGTTTAGGGCAACGTGGGTCTCTACTACCTGGATAGCAATTAGGTGGAGCAGGTGTTGTAGATTTAGGACAACGTAGGTCAGAGCTTCCAGGATAACAATTAGGTGGGGCAGGTGTTGAAGGTCGAGGGCACCGTGGATCAGTTGAATTAGGATAGCATTTTAATTCAGGTGTGGTTGGAGGCAAATAGGTTGGTGGATTTATGGTTGTCGGTCTTGGTGGCTGGGGACAGTTAGGGTCAGGTGAACCGGGATAGCAGACAGGTTTTGGAGATGTTGGTTTGGGACATCGAGGATCATTACTGCCAGGGAAGCATTTTGGGGCTGTTGGAGTTGTAGGTTTTGGGCAACGGCGATCATTAGAACCTGGATAACAGTTAGGTCGAGCTGGTGTCGTTGGTTTAGGACAGCGTGGATCTGAGCTTCCGGGGTAACAGTTTGGAGGAGCTGGCGTTGTTGGTTTAACAGTTTGGAGGAGCTGGCGTTGTTGGTTTAGGACAGCGTGGGTCTGAGCTTCCGGGGTAACATTTTGGAGGAGCTGGCGTTGTTGGTTTAGGACAGCGTGCGTCTGAGCTTCCAGGGTAACAGTTAGGAGGAGATAGCGTTGTTGGTTTAGGACAGCGTGAGTCTGAGCTTCCTGGATAACAATTGGGAGGAGCTGGCGTTGTTGGTTTAGGACAGCGTGGGTCTGAGCTTCCGGGATAACAATTAGGAGGAGCTGGCGATGTTGGTTTTAGGACAACGAGGATCAGAGCTTCCGGGGTAACAGTTAGGGGGAGCTGGCGTTGTCGGTTTAGGACAGCGTGCGTCTGAGCTTCCAGGATAACAATTAGGAGGAGCTGGCGTTGTTGGTTTAGGACAGCGTGGGTCTGAGCTTCCAGGATAACAATTGGGAGGAGAAGGCGTTGTCGGTTTAGGGCAACGTGGGTCTCTACTACCTGGATAGCAATTAGGTGGAGCAGGTGTTGTTAGTTTAGGGCAGCGTGGGTCTGAGCTTCCAGGGTAACAATTAGGAGGTGCTGGCGTTGTTGGTTTAGGACAGCGTGGACAGCGTAAATTCAAATTGACACAAAGTTTAGTGACGTCTGCAAAAATACCTATATATTTCTTAAAACAGCGTCTATAAACGGATTCGGTTTATACCACTTCAATCAAGATACGTCATTGCGCCCAGTAACTCCTGAACCTCGCCTCATCTCTAGATGCCGGTCGTGCTCTAGATGCTTTGACCGCCAGACGACGACAGCCAAGATACCGAACACTCTCCAGTACCAGATTAGACAGACTCTATACCAATACCGATAATACCTATTTATATATGACGCATTAAAGACGTTAACGTGGTAAGACCACTGTTTTTTGATTGCATGTGATAAATGAATAAACGTCGACGTGCCGTTACGGTTGTGTCACATTTCGTATAATCGTTGCTTGTATGAAAAGCAAAACGTCAATAATCGTCATTTAATTTTTATGGGAAAATTGTGCGCCGTGCAACAAAAATTTTAATACCCAGAACCTCAGCTGAAACTAGAAGTATATTCCTAGGTGTTTAGTCGGGTTTAGGAATAAAAAGAATTTTGACATTCATAGAATGTTTAATTAGATTGACTTCAAAAGCAATCCCAAATTAAGTTTCATTAGTTATTTTATAACTGGATAATTATAGATAGTAAGAACATCGTGGTTTATTTTAATATGTTTTTTACCATCTAAAATAGAACAGTTGTTACACAAAGTTGAGTTTAAAACTATTTATACAATACAATGGCCACATTATAACACTGGCAAATTATATACAAAAAGAATATCACATAATGAGTAAAAATATATAAAAAAATCACAATAGTAGTCAATTTAACAGTTTTCGTTTCATGGTAAAGATACTTTGACTAGGGACAGATATTTACAAAATTATTCTCAATAGAATTTTACTCGTCTGATAAACACGTATTGATTAAAAGTGTGCATATACTAATTACGCAAAACTTTGATTTTATGGCACTATTTTATTACAAAATAAAATAGGCATCTTATACTAGAAGCTTGACAAGATGTTATAAAGCTAAAAGGGCAGTGTCAATTTTACATTATAAAGAAATGTCTATATTATGGGATCTTGCAAAATTACATAAAGTTAACGAAAGCCGCTATTGTCTAATAGTTTCAATCGTTTGATTGTGGGATATCACAATAAAATAAGTACTTAACAAGGGTGTTCGCTTCTCAAAGAGGATCCATGGTGCATTTTTTGAATATGTACTCTTTTATAAATATAGACGGCTAGAGCAATAGACAAAATAATAAGGAACATGGTGCCACCGACCGCCATATGAACTATTCCTAAACCATCTGTTGCCTTAATAACACTGTCGTTTTGTTTGCTTAAATCTCTGACATTTCGTGATCTTGGTTTTGTTCGTGTAAACTGGAAATTATCTGTAAATAATTTTTTTTTTATTAAAAACTTTTAGTTACGACGACATTCATTACATCTACTAATGTATCTATTGTAAAGAAAAACCATTGTAAGACAATGAAAACTTGTGAAAGCCATAAATGAAAGAATATAATTATAGGCTTTAAATATATTTTAAGTTTATAGAAGCATCTTGGTTTAAAAACTGGTTTCTCCGTCTACTTACCAACGTCCAATTGAGGTTCGTCGTAGTATTCAACATTTTTATCAGACAGTCTAGCTGTCTTGACAGGATTGACTTCATTTTCTTCGGGGAAAGGTGGTAAATAAGTCGATGGTGGATTAGTGCTACTGGGCGCAAACGGTTGGGGACACTTTGGATCTTTGGATCCGGGATAACAAGAGCTAGGTGTTGTAACAGTTTGAGGGCATCTAGGGTCGTTGCTTCCAGTAACATTTGGGAGGAACAGGCGTTGTTGGTTTAGGACAGCGTGGGTCTGAGCTTCCAGGGTAACAATTAGGAGGAGCTAGTGTTGTTGGTTTAGGACAACGTGGATCAGAGCTTCCGGGGTAGCAGTTTGGTGGGGCAGGCGTTTGTTGGTATAGGACAGCGTGGGTCGGAGCTTCCAGGGTAACAATTAGGGGCATAAGGCGTTGTCGGTTTAGGACAGCGTGGATCTGAGCTACCAGGGAAACAGCTAGGTGGGGCGGGTGTTGAAGGAGGCGGGCATCGGGGATCAGGTGAACCTGGGTAGCATTTTAATTCGGGTGTCGTCGGAGGCAAGTAAGTTGGTGGATTTAACGTTGTAGGTCTTGGCGGTTGGGGACAGTTAGGATCAGGTGAACCAGGATAACAGACAGGTTTAGGGGATGTTGGTTTGGGACATCGGGGATCATTACTGCCAGGGAAGCATTTCGGAGCTGTTTGAGTAGTAGGTTTTGGGCAACGGCGATCATTAGATCCTGGATAACAGTTAGGTGGTGCAGGTTTTGTTGGTATAGGACAGCGTGGGTCTGAGCTTCCAGGATAACAATCAGGAGGAGCTGGCGTTGTTGGTTTAGGACAGCGTGCGTCTGAGCTTCCAGGGTAACAATTAGGAGGAGCTGGCGTTGTTGGTTTAGGACAACGTGGATCAGAGCTTCCAGGGTAACAATTAGGAGGAGCTGGCGTTGTTGGTTTAGGACAGCGTGGGTCTGAGCTTCCTGGATAACAATTGGGAGGAGCTGGCGTTGTTGGTTTGGGACAACGTGGATCAGAGCTTCCAGGGTAACAATTAGGAGGAGCTGGCGTTGTTGGTTTAGGACAACGTGGATCAGAGCTTCCGGGGTAACAGTTTGGAGGAGCTGGCGTTGTTGGTTTAGGACAGCGTGGGTCTGAGCTTCCTGGGTAACAGTTAGGAGGAGCTGGCGTTGTTGGTTTAGGACAGCGTGCGTCTGAACTTCCAGGGTAACATTTAGGAGGAGCGGGCGTTGTTGGTATAGGGCAACGTGGGTCTCTACTACCTGGATAGCAATTAGGTGGTGCAGGTGTTGTAGGTTTAGGACAACGTAAGTCAGAGCTTCCAGGATAACAATTAGGCGGGGTTGGTGTTGAAGGTCGAGGGCACCGTGGATCAGTTGAATCAGGATAGCATTTTAATTCAGGTGTGGTTGGAGGCAAATAGGTTGGTGGATTTATAGTTGTCGGTCTCGGCGGTTGGGGACAGTTAGGGTCAGGAGAACCGGGATAGCACACAGGTTTTGGAGATGTCGGTTTGGGACATCGAGGATCATTACTGCCAGGGAAGCATTTTGGGGCTGTTGGAGTTGTAGGTTTTGGGCAACGGCGATCATTAGAACCTGGATAACAGTTAGGTCGAGCTGGTGTCGTTGGTTTAGGACAGCGTGGGTCTGAGCTTCCGGGGTAACAGTTTGGAGGAGCTGGCGTTGTTGGTTTAGGACAGCGTGGATCTGAGCTACCGGGGTAACAGTTTGGAGGAGCTGCCGTTGTTGGTTTAGGACAGCGTTGGTCTGAGCTACCAGGGTAACAGTTAGGTCGAGCTGGTGTCGTTGGTTTAGGACAGCGTGGGTCTGAGCTTCCGGGGTAACAGTTTGGAGGAGCTGGCGTTGTTGGTTTAGGACAGCGTGGATCTGAGCTTCCGGGGTAACAGTTTGGAGGAGCTGCCGTTGTTGGTTTAGGACAGCGTTGGTCTGAGCTACCAGGGTAACAGTTAGGTCGAGCTGGTGTCGTTGGTTTAGGACAGCGTGGGTCTGAGCTTCCTGGATAACAATTGGGAGGAGCTGGCGTTGTTGGTTTGGGACAACGTGGATCAGAGCTTCCAGGGTAACAATTAGGAGGAGCTGGCGTTGTTGGTTTAGGACAACGTGGATCAGAGCTTCCAGGGTAACAATTAGGAGGAGCTGGCGTTGTTGGTTTAGGACAACGTGGATCAGAGCTTCCGGGGTAACAGTTTGGAGGAGCTGGCGTTGTTGGTTTAGGACAGCGTGGGTCTGAGCTTCCTGGGTAACAGTTAGGAGGAGCTGGCGTTGTTGGTTTAGGACAGCGTGCGTCTGAACTTCCAGGGTAACAATTAGGTGGAGCAGGTGTTGTAGGTTTAGGACAACGTAGGTCAGAGCTTCCAGGATAACAATTAGGTGGGGCAGGTGTTGAAGGGCGCGGGCACCGTGGATCAGTTGAACCAGGATTGCATTTTAATTCAGGTGTAGTTGGAGGCAAATAGGTTGGTGGATTAATGGTTGTCGGTCTCGGCGGTTGGGGACAGTTAGGGTCAGGAGAACCGGGATAGCACACAGGTTTTGGAGATGTCGGTTTGGGACATCGAGGATCATTACTGCCAGGGAAGCATTTTGGGGCTGTTGGAGTTGTAGGTTTTGGGCAACGGCGATCATTAGAACCTGGATAACAGTTAGGTCGAGCTGGTGTCGTTGGTTTAGGACAGCGTGGGTCTGAGCTTCCGGGGTAACAGTTTGGAGGAGCTGGCGTTGTTGGTTTAGGACAGCGTGGATCTGAGCTTCCGGGGTAACAGTTTGGAGGAGCTGGCCGTTGTTGGTTTAGGACAGCGTTGGTCTGAGCTACCAGGGTAACAGTTAGGTTCAGCTGGTGTCGTTGGTTTAGGACAGCGTGGGTCTGAGCTTCCAGGGTAACAATTGGGAGGAGAAGGCGTTGTCGGTTTAGGGCAACGTGGGTCTCTACTACCTGGATAGCAATTAGGTGGAGCAGGTGTTGTAGATTTAGGACAACGTAGGTCAGAGCTTCCAGGATAACAATTAGGTGGGGCAGGTGTTGAAGGTCGAGGGCACCGTGGATCAGTTGAATCAGGATAGCATTTTAATTCAGGTGTGGTTGGAGGCAAATAGGTTGGTGGATTTATGGTTGTCGGTCTTGGTGGCTGGGGACAGTTAGGGTCAGGTGAACCGGGATAGCAGACAGGTTTTGGAGATGTTGGTTTGGGACATCGAGGATCATTACTGCCAGGGAAGCATTTTGGGGCTGTTGGAGTTGTAGGTTTTGGGCAACGGCGATCATTAGAACCTGGATAACAGTTAGGTGGAGCTGGTGTCGTTGGTTTAGGACAACGGGGGTCTGAGCTTCGTTGTTGGGGGTAACAGTTTGGAGGAGCTGGCGTTGTTGGTTTAGGACAGCGTGCGTCTGAGCTTCCAGGGTAACAGTTAGGAGGAGATAGCGTTGTTGGTTTAGGACAGCGTGAGTCTGAGCTTCCTGGATAACAATTGGGAGGAGCTGGCGTTGTTGGTTTAGGACAGCGTGGGTCTGAGCTTCCGGGATAACAATTAGGAGGAGCTGGCGATGTTGGTTTAGGACAACGAGGATCAGAGCTTCCGGGGTAACAGTTAGGGGGAGCTGGCGTTGTCGGTTTAGGACAGCGTGCGTCTGAGCTTCCAGGATAACAATTAGGAGGAGCTGGCGTTGTTGGTTTAGGACAGCGTGGGTCTGAGCTTCCAGGATAACAATTGGGAGGAGAAGGCGTTGTCGGTTTAGGGCAACGTGGGTCTCTACTACCTGGATAGCAATTAGGTGGAGCAGGTGTTGTTAGTTTAGGGCAGCGTGTGGGGTCTGAGCTCCAGGGTAACAATTAGGAGGTGCTGGCGTTGTTGGTTTAGGACAGCGTGGGTCTGAGCTTCCTGGATAACAATTGGGAGGAGCTGGCGTTGTTGGTTTAGGACAGCGTGGGTCTGAGCTTCCGGGATAACAATTAGGTGGAGCTGGCGATGTTGGTTTTTAGGACAACGAGGATCAGAGCTTCCGGGGTAACAGTTAGGAGGAGCTGGCGTTGTCGGTTTAGGACAGCGTGCGTCTGAGCTTCCAGGATAACAATTGGGAGGAGAAGGCGTTGTCGGTTTAGGGCAACGTGGGTCTCTACTACCTGGATAGCAATTAGGTGGAGCAGGTGTTGTTGGTTTAGGGCAGCGTGGGTCTGAGCTTCCAGGGTAACAATTAGGAGGTGCTGGCGTTGTTGGTTTAGGACAACGTGGATCAGAGCTTCCGGGGTAACAGTTTGGAGGAGCTGGCGTTGTTGGTTTAGGACAGCGTGGGTCTGAGCTTCCTGGGTAACAGTTAGGAGGAGCTGGCGTTGTTGGTTTAGGACAGCGTGGGTCTGAGCTTCCAGGGTAACAATTGGGAGGAGAAGGCGTTGTCGGTTTAGGGCAACGTGGGTCTCTACTACCTGGATAGCAATTAGGTGGAGCAGGTGTTGTAGATTTAGGACAACGTAGGTCAGAGCTTCCAGGATAACAATTAGGTGGGGCAGGTGTTGAAGGTCGAGGGCACCGTGGATCAGTTGAATTAGGATAGCATTTTAATTCAGGTGTGGTTGGAGGCAAATAGGTTGGTGGATTTATGGTTGTCGGTCTTGGTGGCTGGGGACAGTTAGGGTCAGGTGAACCGGGATAGCAGACAGGTTTTGGAGATGTTGGTTTGGGACATCGAGGATCATTACTGCCAGGGAAGCATTTTGGGGCTGTTGGAGTTGTAGGTTTTGGGCAACGGCGATCATTAGAACCTGGATAACAGTTAGGTCGAGCTGGTGTCGTTGGTTTAGGACAGCGTGGATCTGAGCTTCCGGGGTAACAGTTTGGAGGAGCTGGCGTTGTTGGTTTAGGACAGCGTGGGTCTGAGCTTCCGGGGTAACATTTTGGAGGAGCTGGCGTTGTTGGTTTAGGACAGCGTGCGTCTGAGCTTCCAGGGTAACAGTTAGGAGGAGATAGCGTTGTTGGTTTAGGACAGCGTGAGTCTGAGCTTCCTGGATAACAATTGGGAGGAGCTGGCGTTGTTGGTTTAGGACAGCGTGGGTCTGAGCTTCCGGGATAACAATTAGGAGGAGCTGGCGATGTTGGTTTAGGACAACGAGGATCAGAGCTTCCGGGGTAACAGTTAGGGGGGGAGCTGGTGTTGTTGGTTTAGGACAGCGTGGGTCTGAGCTTCCAGGATAACAATTAGGAGGAGCTGGCGTTGTTGGTTTAGGACAGCGTGGGTCTGAGCTTCCAGGATAACAATTGGGAGGAGAAGGCGTTGTCGGTTTAGGGCAACGTGGGTCTCTACTACCTGGATAGCAATTAGGTGGAGCAGGTGTTGTTAGTTTAGGGCAGCGTGGGTCTGAGCTTCCAGGGTAACAATTAGGAGGTGCTGGCGTTGTTGGTTTAGGACAGCGTGGGTCTGAGCTTCCTGGATAACAATTGGGAGGAGCTGGCGTTGTTGGTTTAGGACAGCGTGGGTCTGAGCTTCCGGGATAACAATTAGGTGGGGCGGGTGTTGAAGGGCGCGGGCACCGTGGATCAGTTGAACCAGGATTGCATTTTAATTCAGGTGTAGTTGGAGGCAAATAGGTTGGTGGATTTATAGTTGTCGGTCTCGGCGGTTGGGGACAGTTAGGGTCAGGTGCACCGGGATAGCAAACAGGTTTTGGAGATGTCGGTTTGGGACATCGAGGATCATTGCTGCCAGGGAAGCATTTCGGGGCTGTTGGAGTTGTAGGTTTTGGGCACCGGCTATCATTAGAACCTGGATAACAGTTAGCTGGAGCTGGGTGTCGTTGGTTTAGGACAGCGTGGGTCTGAACTTCCAGGGTAACAGTTAGGGGGAGCTGGAGTTGTTGGTTTAGGACAGCGTGGATCTGAGCTTCCAGGATAACAATTAGGAGGAACTGGCGTTGTTGGTTTAGGACAACGTGGGTCTGAGCTTCCAGGGTAACAATTAGGAGGAGCTGGCGTTGTTGGTTTAGGGCAGCGTGGGTCTGAGCTTCCTGGGTAACAATTAGGAGGAGCTGGCGTTGTTGGTTTAGGACAACGTGGATCAGAGCTTCCGGGGTAACAATTTGGAGGAGCTGGCGTTGTTGGTTTAGGACAGCGTGGGTCTGAGCTTCCAGGGTAACAATTAGGAGGAGCTGGCGTTGTTGGTTTAGGACAGCGTGGGTCTGAGCTTCCAGGGTAACAATTAGGAGGAGCTGGCGTTGTTGGTTTAGGACAACGTGGATCAGAGCTTCCGGGGTAACAGTTTGGAGGAGCTGGCGTTGTTGGTTTAGGACAGCGTGGGTCACTGCTACCTGGATAGCAATTAGGAGGAGCTGGCGTTGTTGGTTTAGGACAGCGTGGGTCTGAGCTTCCTGGGTAACAGTTAGGAGCAGCTGGCGTTGTTGGTTTCGGACAGCGTGGGTCTGAGCTTCCAGGGTAACAATTAGGTGGGGCAGGTGTTGAAGGGCGCGGGCACCGTGGATCAGTTGAACCAGGATTGCATTTTAATTCAGGTGTAGTTGGAGGCAAATAGGTTGGTGGATTAATGGTTGTCGGTCTTGGTGGTTGGGGACAGTTAGGGTCAGGTGAACCGGGATAGCAGACAGGTTTTGGAGATGTTTGTTTGGGACATCGAGGATCATTACTGCCAGGGAAGCATTTTGGGGCTGTTGGAGTTGTAGGTTTTGGGCACCGGCTATCATTAGAACCTGGATAACAGTTAGGTGGAGCTGGTGTCGTTGGTTTAGGACAGCGTGGGTCTGAACTTCCAGGGTAACAGTTAGGGGGAGCTGGAGTTGTTGGTTTAGGACAGCGTGGATCTGAGCTTCCAGGATAACAATTAGGAGGAACTGGCGTTGTTGGTTTAGGACAACGTGGGTCTGAGCTTCCAGGATAACAATTAGGAGGAGCTGGCGTTGTTGGTTTAGGGCAGCGTGGGTCTGAGCTTCCTGGGTAACATATAGGAGGAGCTGGCGTTGTTGGTTTAGGACAGCGTGGGTCTGAGCTTCCAGGGTAACAATTAGGAGGAGCTGGCGTTGTTGGTTTAGGACAACGTGGATCAGAGCTTCCGGGGTAACAATTTGGAGAAGCTGGCGTTGTTGGTTTAGGACAGCGTGGGTCACTACTACCTGGATAGCAATTAGGAGGAGCTGGCGTTGTTGGTTTAGGACAGCGTGGGTCTGAGCTTCCAGGGTAACAATTAGGAGGAACTGGCGTTGTTGGTTTAGGACAGCGTGGGTCTGAGCTTCCAGGGTAACAATTAGGAGGAGCTGGCGTTGTTGGTTTAGGACAACGTGGATCAGAGCTTTCCTGACGGGGTAACAGTTTGGAGGAGCTGGCGTTGTTGGTTTAGGACAGCGTGGGTCACTACTACCTGGATAGCAATTAGGAGGAGCTGGCGTTGTTGGTTTAGGACAGCGTGGGTCTGAGCTTCCAGGGTAACAATTAGGTGGAGCAGGTGTTGTAGGTTTAGGACAACGTAGGTCAGAGCTTCCAGGATAACAATTAGGTGGGGCAGGTGTTGAAGGGCGCGGGCACCGTGGATCAGTTGAACCAGGATTGCATTTTAATTCAGGTGTAGTTGGAGGCAAATAGGTTGGTGGATTAATGGTTGTCGGTCTTGGTGGTTGGGGACAGTTAGGGTCAGGTGAACCGGGATAGCAGACAGGTTTTGGAGATGTTGGTTTGGGACATCGAGGATCATTACTGCCAGGGAAGCATTTTGGGGCTGTTGGAATTGTAGGTTTTGGGCAACGGCGATCATTAGAACCTGGATAACAGTTAGGTCGAGCTGGTGTCGTTGGTTTAGGACAGCGTCGATCAGAGCTTCCGGGGTAACAGTTGGGTGGTGCAGGTGTTGTTGGTCTAGGACAGCGTGGGTCTGAGCTCCCAGGATAACAATTGGGTGGTACTGGTGTGCTCGATTTTTGGCATCGGGTATCTTTACTACCGGGGTAACATTTAATCTGTGGCGGTGCTGTAATGGTCTGACATTGCGGATCCGGCGAACCTGGATAACACTCTAATTGTGTACTGATAGTTGTTGAAATTTCATTTATGTTGCCGTCACACGATGATTCGCAGTTGCTTGTACAGAGCTGTAATAAAGAGTGTTTAGGTATAGTTATTGTTAAAATATATATTTGTGCTTAATAAGTACGTCAGAAGCTATACATCAATAGTGTGTCAAAAGAAAAATAAATGAAAATTTTATCCCCGTGCCAGTACTCTTCAAAGTAGTATTCAAAATAATATTAACATCAGCGCGACCGCGAACTCATCCTATTAACCTTATTCATCAGGGTGAGTGGAATGAGATCGCGGTCCACCTCGAAACAGGCTCGAAACTAATCGGTACATTCAACGTGATTTTAGCCGTTTAATTAATCAGCTATTAGCTTATGATGTACTTAAATTAAAATGTTTAAAGGAGGGAAAATGGCCAGACGCATTTTGCATATGATCTATTTAGATCTTTGGCCATTAATTTTCTTTAATATTTTTATTTAATAAATAGATATTTAATGAAAAATTTAGTATCATTTGAATGATACTGGTAAAACGTATCTACCATAAAGAAATGGTTACATACCTCAACATTACATGTTAAGTACACTTGGTCTGTTTCGGGAAATCGAAAAGCGCTGACTTTACTATAAGCTATTAATGTTGCCCCACTCTTGCCTGTGTTGGTCGACTTTTGCCATTGGTCGATAATCTTTTTCTTTCTGAAAGTTTTTATTTAATAACGCTAATTTCTTGACATAAATCAAAATGATAAAACGGCTTTGTTTCATAAAACAAAAAATGAAACGATTTTAATGAACCCAAAACATATTCAATGGAACGCACATGTATTTAATGATATGACATTTTTTTAATTTTACAAGCTGACCCGTTGTTTTGCCATAGCCAATTAATTGGAGGGTAGAAAATAATTTAGGGGTGGACCAACCTTAACATTTAGGGGGATGAAAAATAAATGTTGTCCGATTCTCCACCCTGGCCGATATGCACACAAAATTTCATGAAAATCGGTCGAGCCGTTTAGGAGGAGTTCAATTACAAACACCGTGACACGAGAATTTTATTATAATTTTATGTGTCAGTTCATTTGTTAATGTCAGTGATATCAACATAAGAGCAATGAGCTATTACAACTCTAATTGACTTTAAAGTTATACTGAGTAAAAAATATCTAAAACTTTATCTTCACCAAAAAAGTACGTTTGATGATTTCATAATGTTTGACGTTTGACGTAATACTTGTTGGAGACGACAGGGATACTTGTTGGGGATAGATTTTGTCTTTCAGAACTTACTTGGGGCATCCTTGTTTATCTGTTAGTTGTATTTTATTCGTCTTTGGACTGTCGTAGCTGTCGCTATCATAAGCCCAACAATCGTGAATTTTAAGATTAAATTGCTTCCGCACGTCCTTCAAGTATACTAAAATTGTCAGGTATTCACCAATTTTTATCGAATTCTCGAGAGGGGTAGTCTAAAAAAATACAATAGAAATGTTGAATCATTTTTTTCATTTGGATTGAAAGTTCTTAATTCTAAATTGTATTTAATCTAACGGAAAAATAAAACTCACGTTAGGGAATACTCCTTTTTGAATATCCATCCAGCATTCAACTCCACCGCCCGGACCTTCGACAGCGATTACGTCAAGCATATCTACCATAAAGGGCTTCAATTTCAATACATGAGATTGCTCTTCCCTCGCTCCGCTAGATGATATTTCGAACGAAGTTCGTGCACATGATACCTTTAAGAATGAAGTACGTCTTAACTTTGCTTTATGAAAAAAATTTTTTTTCATAAAGCACAATTCTAGAGTTCTATAATTGTTAAAATTCGTAGGATTAAGTAGTTTGACAAGAGAATATATGTTGTTGAATTTTCTTTTGCAACAGTTATAAAACGTATTATTGCTATACATATATCTACCTTCCTTGCAAAATCCAATGAGCCCTGGACGAAATCATCAGCTTGAAATACAAGTACATTGTCGATAGTACCGCATGCATTACATAAAGGTCGAGAGCCACAACCGTTCAGAGGCACTCTAAAGCTGTATCGCGATTCACTTCCTCCAAGAGACACGTATCTGTTAAAACATTAACATATATTACACGTATGTACTACTATTTTGTACTACTCACCATTTAACATGAGGAGTACTCGTAAATAATGGAAATTATAGATTTTTCCAATTCTGGTAAGTAAAATCCATCCACCAATCCGTCCACAGGTTTTTTTTATTTGACATAGTGGCAAACGAGCTGGCAGTTCACCTGATGTTAAGTAATTACCTTCGTCCATGGATATTTAGAATACCCGTAGGGCTGCAGATGCGTTGCCACCTTTTAAAAAAGTGGGCCCCGGCTAGGTAGCACTCACCAGACGAAACGCAGAAGTGTAACACTTCTACTTCACGCCGTTCTTCTGTGAGGTCGTGGTACTAACCGGGAAGGACCTGCCTATTCGTGCAACAGCGAACACTGTTGCGTCCCCCTACCACAGGTGAAATTGCACTGGCGCAGTTGTCCACTTCGGATCCTGCCGTTAAGTTCTCTGCACATCAATGAATTGGACGTTTTTCCAGAGAGGTAAGGTTGAAAGTAAATTTCAGAGTTTAAATTCAAATCGAATATGAATTGAAAAGTGAAAATTTTGAAATTAGTTACTAAAATAGAACTGACAAAGTAAGTTCTTTTAGTTTCTAGCTAATACAGTTCAACTAGAGCAGTGCATTTGGTTCGAATATACATTTTGTTAGAGAGATTTATCATATATATTTGAACAGACATACATTATAAATGAAACTAATTTTACAGATTTATCGCGTTAGTTTTTAATTTTAATTCCCGACGAGAAGAACGTATAGCTGACGTAAAACATAGTAGATTGAACAAGTCTGCAGTTTGCGAGCACACTTTAAATCGGTCCAACCACTACATCAGGTTTGATAGACCACAGATCCTTGCAAAAGAACACCGATTCCTCCCAAGGATGATTCGCGAGGCTATTGAAATTAAAAAACACCCTAATTTCAATAGAGAAGAGGGAATATTATTATTATTATTGGGGGATATTCATTTATTTTCTCGTCTGGTTGGGTTTATAAATAAAAATAAAAATATAGATTATTATTATTATTATTAAATTAAATCTAGGCCCAAACGAACCACTACTGCAAGACAAGACACAATTAGCTCTCTCTGCATAGATCGGACACAAAATTGATAATTCAAAAACTGACGGTAGCCCGGGTTAACTATGACAATCAGACGTCTAACGCCTCAGTCTGTCCCGTGACCATGAACGCTGTAAAGGGTTTGAAACGTCGGGAAATAAAATTAAAAATAAACGCGATAAATACGTAAAATTAGTTTCATTTATAATGTGTAATCGCGTAAATACAAGAAATTATTAGACATACATTACTTCGTATTCAAAGCCATTACATAATTGCTACTAGTCGCCTATTAGTTCAAATTCAACTAAAAGATAATTGAATTGTAAATTTATAGAATTACTGTTTTTATCAGACTGACACTTAAATTTTTATTTGCAGCTGTCTTAAGTATGATATTCCTGTTCTATCTTACTAAAAATATTATTACTGAGACAAAACAGCTTGTTCTGCATTTTACCAATATTTACTATATATTTTTTTTGCTTTAATATTTTTTTTTTCACATTAAGTTCTAACGTTTAGTGTTAAAAATAAATTTTAACTAATTTATTCTTAGAATTTTTATTTTATTACAAAATGAATGGTTTTGTTGTCTTACTTGCACTTGGGATCGTTCAGGTATCCCTTGCTGTATATTATGCCATCATATACGTCCGCGAATTCGACGGTGACTTCAATGTGTTCTGCAGTGCACTGGACGTCTATGTCTGGTGAGAGGGGAGAATCGGCCGCCCTCGAGCCTCGCATAAAGTGCACCGCGGTGTCATCGTTGGTTTCGTAGAAAGGCGACAACGGGTTGTCACCGGCCAGTTCGAGGTTCAACTCCGCCGCCGTGAGGGTTTGGACGCCATCTGAAACAGCTGTAGCTAGCGACAGCTGCGGCAAAATAGAAATCGATAAGTAAAAATTGTGTAATTATAACCCTTAATGAAACAACTGTAAAATATTGAAATTATTGAAATTACATTATTATTATGATTAAAAACGTAATAAATATTTCACAGTTATTTTGTTTCAAAGTAAAAAAAAAAGAACGGAATTTTGTTTTTTTCTTTTGATATGAAGAATACATCATAACTAGATAAAACAAAAAGATCTCTGTATCATTGTTGTAGCATATGTACTACTAAAATTTCAAATTAAAAAAGGTGTTGCAGAAAGATTTCGTTTGTTAAATGATAAAGTTATAAACGGATCATGTTAATATGTCAAAGCGAAGATTATGTCATTAATAATAAGTAATTACTTAAAACTCGAAAGTTACAAAAGGCTATTAAGATATATCTTATCACCGTATCTTATTCACCTGTGATTATCTTTAAAAATGTTTAATGAGCAATAATAAATTTCATTACTGGGTAAACCTTTACACAAGCCCTTCTCAAAAGATTAAACTATGTTTTACGAGTGATGATTCTGACATTACATGATTTGTACACTGCTAATTAATGTGTGAGAGATTAATTTATATTATTACGAGTGGCATAACGTCGTTTTTATGATGTGTAATGTTTTATTCACAACCGTCAAATGGCATCGGTGCGAATACGATGTATAAATGTATAATTTTATTTACTTGGTTTTAAAACCTTCTGTGCTTTATTTCTAATTGATTTTATCGAAATGAAAGCAAACAAGTATAAATATTAAAGTTTTGATCCATTAGAGGTAGTGGTATAAATAAGTGAAAACAACACTGTAGATTGTGGAATAAAACTCAATTACGGAATTTTTTTTTCACGTCTTATTATGATTTAAATTCCCGACGCTTTGAACTCTTTACAGAATACATGGCCCTGGCGTAGAATCTATCTAGATAGGTGTAACAAACCGTAAATTAGATTTACTGACCATTAATAACTGCACATTAGTATTCGCGTGAACATATTTATGATCATGAGTACAGGCAACAGGTACAACGGCAGAGTTAATAATAACAAAATGAAAGTGTAATATTTATCCAAAACTATAAAAAGCAAACATAACATTAAAATGTATTAAGGCTGGAAAATAATAAGAAATGCTCTGATATTTTTAATTTGACATAAACTGTTGATGTAAAAATTTAGAACTTTTTCCAAGAAATGATGTATCCCTGTTTTCGTTCTTAATGCAATAAAGGGACTACTATTTATAGGAGGCTTTATTTAACTGCCTAGCTTACAAGTAATGTAAACTAAACAAAGTAATTGTGGTAAAAGTAAAATCTTGCCTGTCATAAGAACAAGTGTTTCCATAGGTATCTTCATAGAAAATTGCATAGTCTTGTTTGTTAGAATAATGAAATTGAATAAGTTATTATAGAAAGATATTTTTTTTGTCATACTACACTGAAAAACTTAAATATCAAGACTCAAGACAAGTACACTTTTGTACGCTTGCCATTATTAATTAGACTTTTACTTTAGAATTCATATTAACATATTTCTATTTAGTATACATTGGAGAGTTAAGAAACGATTTTATTATATGAATTCTATTTAATACCGAAGGAACTAACCATAATCAAGTTTCTTTCTTTATTCTTTTTAGTTAAATATATTTCTAGCGTCTTCGAACGTATGTTGCGATCGGAATATTGGAATAAAAATTGTGTTTTCAATGCGCCGAACCAATCCTCAAGCTGTGCAGCGAGCACTACAACTCTCTGACTTACATATAAGATTTATTGCCATAGCTCGCGCCTATCAGTAATATCTGAACATTGTTTGCGCGGACACAATGCACATTTTTAAATTCACACGCAATTTTTCGCATTATTACCGACCATTCAGCGTTGTGTAAAATTCAGTCGGTCCGATAGTGTCGGTTGATGTTATATTGCGTTAACTAAGGTAACGCATTCCGCATTCGGAAGGCGAGTTCATGGCGTACCCATGCAAGCAAGTGGTAAATCAACAGTGGTACATCAACATTCAATTTATAAGTTTTTATGTCACAAAGTGGCAAACGAGCTGGCGGTTCACCTGATGTTAAGTGATAAACGCTGCCTATGGACATTAGCAACACCCGTAAGGTTAGAAATTCGTTGCCATCTTTAAACTAAGTGCGCCTCGGCTACCTCACTCACCCGACGAAACTTAGAAGTGTAACACTTCTAATTACGCCGGTCTTCTGTGAGGTCGTGGTACTTACTCGGACGGACCTGCCCATTCGTGTTACAGTGAACACTATTGCGTGGTCCTACCACAGTTAGTTGAATAGTTGCAGGGGGGTGTCGTTGTGTATATCGATCACATAAAACGCCAAAGTGTAAATTGACTAGTCTCTCCAAAAGATCAAAATTTTGATTTTAATCATCATTACATATGAATTTTATTAGTTTGATCGACTTTTTTTATTTCAAAATGTTATTCTTGATATTCATATTTCAACTATGCGGCATTAAAACTTTTTGTGTATAATCAAGTAATTTTCAATAAATATTTTAGCATCGTCTCGTCAAAAGACTAATAACGTTTTAAAAATCGTAATTATAAAAAGAAAATATTACATTAAATTAAAGTTATGTTGTCATATTGCAATGTGTACGACATTATGGGTTGCGACAGGCGTATACGTTAGCGCATTAGAAATGTCTCTCGATCGTACTTGTTAGGAAATTACTTTTAACATAATGTCTAGTTTTTCACGTATTATCCATCTCCTTCTCTAGACGGAAGAATTCCGCGGCTTTAATTAAATCGTATTTTGAAATAAGCTAAAAATGCGTAACGTCTGGTCTAATGCTTTGTGTCACTATTTGCTCTTTTCATAACCTTTAGATTAAGAGACAATTACAGAGCAAAAAGTTAATTATGAGGTCTTCTTAATCCAAATCTGGCACCAAGAACTTGTGCTCGTGTGATTTCATTACGAAACGTAAAATATTTACTTAATGGATTACCTTGTCTTTATTTATGCGATGGGATGGATGGATGGAAGTATTAAATTCTAGCCTTTTAAAGACAAAGCACATTTTAATTAGATTTCCGATTTTAGTTATTAAGGTGGACTTTGAGAAGGAGAGTTGTTGCGTTATTGTGGTTTGATGCAATCGCTTTGGTTTAAAATTGTCTACGATTTATAGATTTAGAAAATATAAAAAAAATAGTTTTGTCTCTTTGACTGTTATGTGTGCTATTCTGTTTGTTGAACAGTGTAGGGTCCATTTGAGATTCACGAAAAATGGGTAGCTTATCATATATGAGTTCATTAAGCTCTTTTTTCTTTCGTTTCTAAAAAAGAGCGTTGCTATCGAGCTTGCGGTTCACCTGATGTAAGTGATAATCGTCGCCCATGCACATTTACAACATCCGTGGAGTTCAAATGTGTTGCCACTTACAAAAAAGTGTGCAGGGGCACATTTTTTATCAGTGGCAACAGTGGAAGAGGAAACGAAGTAGAAATAGGGTTTTCTACTTCCTTTTCTCTTCCACTAAACGATGCTTCACCGGACGAGCCTTCTCACTCGTGTAAAACCAATGACTGCCATTTGGTCTACCTACCAGTCTAAGACTATATCGTAATACGTACCTGCACGAATGCAATCAATGTCGCTATGTGCATGACAGCCACTTCATGGGGCCCTGAAACAAACAGACAATTTATAAATAAATGTGTATTTACATTCGACGACTTATCTGACCTATAATCGTTTTACTTCGAAAGTAATGTAGCAAAGAATGAGGCCAATCGTTTTTCGAATACCGCTAATAACTCATGTTTGTATTTTGAATACACAAATGCTAAGTCTGAATCAAACACTTACGACGTCATCTCGCAATGCCAAGTGCGTCTATAAAACTTAAGATACATTAAGTTCACCAGTAATGGTTAAAAATCAAAAGAAAACATTGCAACATCCCAAAGGCCCGATCATTAGCATGGAGGTCTTTCGTAAGTTTTTGATGCGCGAGCGTAGTTTTTTTTTTGCCGTAAAGGTCATCGGCATCTTAAAAGTGCGCAGGTGATAAAATCTCCGTTTAGGAGGAGCGCCATAGTATTCGGTACATTAGTGTCAAGTGTCATTCATATTAGGGCTCAGTTAGGCGGTTTATTGCGAAATTTGACGCAACGTTTTTTTTTTAATTAGGAAATTAGGAATTTTTTTTAATTAGGAATTATGAATTTAGCCACCTGTGATCTACCTGTTTAGGTGTTGTGGCGATACGATGATATTAAATTATATTACGACACGATTATAAAGTCAACGTTAATTTATATGCGTTAGTACAGGTAGATTAAATAAGGGAATACAGTTGCGATATAGAATTCGGATACGATATAAAAAGACAGTCTATTATCGCCTTGTGTGATTCAATAGTCATACAAGGCGGTAGTATCAATTGCATTGGCTTAGACGGTATGAACTGAATTGTTTGCAATCCCTTTAACGACTGTTACTCGATGTTTGGTGTAACATCGGAAATAACAGCAATACTAACTTACGTCGCAACAGTAATAGTAGACCTTGAACCGATTTATGTAACAGAGGTGGTTACATAAATCACTTAGCAGTGTAATAATAAAAATGGACAAAGCTGCACATACGATTATACGATTTTAATAAAGTCCAATGATGAACGGATATGTACTCTTAATTCGTTTGTTTAAGAACATCTTTTTCTTTTATTTTCAATTTTTAAATACTGAAGTTTTCCTTTTCCATATTGAAATTGGTTGCCTTTTATCTACCTAGTTAACAATAAATTTTTGGTATGAATATTTTTATAACTATGCTCAATTAAAACGTAACCGCTACTGGGATAGATTAAATAATTGTTAAAATTGGCCATAAAATTGCCTCATAGGCGGCATATAATAGTCTTGGTAACTTGAATACTTTTTAAAAGGCGTGAAATGGTGAAAAATGTAGGAAAGAAATAGGTAATATCACTTTATAGTTATTAGTTTGTTAGACGGGTCACGAAGAAGACTTAACTGTTGCGTCTGCGCTTCGTGAGGTCGTTTGGGAGGACCTTTAACGCGAAATATTTCCGCGTGTTATTTCGACATGGATTGGTTCGAGCCCAGCCAAATTGTTTCTTAACACATCTCCATAATAAAACGACTGTTTAATTATTCAAAACTATTAGGAAGTGTATGTTAACGATCGAGATGAGTTATGACATGTTTAATAAAGCAATTCAGATATAAGGGGATTTGATTTGATCGGTGGTTATATTAGTCATAATTGCTAATTGATTGATAGAAAAATACTTTATTATTATACTCTATTAAAAATACTCTACTATTACTCGTACCGCTAAGACGCCAACGTCTTTGTTACATACTATTGATAAGGCGCGTTAATAGTTATATTATTATGATGTATGTAAGTTCAGTTAACGTACTTGTTTACAATCCGAATGGAATTAATTTTGAAAAGTACTAAAACTTAGAGCAAAAGAAAGTATGTGAAACATTCAAAAATATCCAACATTCTATGGCAAATAATACAATATATTAAAAAAGGCCTCCGTAATTACACGTCAACACACGTCAACACCTTATAATAAAGAGTTTATCTTATATTTGCTCTCATATGCACTAAAATCCCAATTGGTTTGAATTTGGTGATGAAGAACAGAAAATTACATAAATAGCTGTTTATATTGGCCCTGTTAATGGAAGTTGACTTTTTACTTTTGACTGCCCTGTCCCCGGGAAGTCGATGGACGTAGGTGGCTCAAGATCGTGCTTCGTGACAGTCCGTGGGGAGGCCTATGTTCAGTAGTGGACTCAAACAGGCGGAAATGATGATGATGATGATGATTAGTCTCTGGCACAGAATAGGGCTATAGTATCCCTGTATGTCAGTATGTCTGTCGTTAAAGGCAGGTGATAGGAATAGGTATAGGACTAACAGGGGACACGGACTGGCAGCAGTCATCGAGGGGGTTTTAGTGGGCACGAATTCCACATAACCCTGTTATGTGAGAAATGACGGGGTATAAAGAAAACGTACGTGGGGAATTCTTTTAAAGAAAAGCATTCGCCCCGTTATGTAAAAAAAAGACAACAAAGAGAATTTTTTTATTATTTTTAATCAAATTTTAACACAATTTACCTTTTTTGTTCCTTAGCGACCTCAAGCTCAAAATTTTTTTGCTGCCCATAATACTCAAAGTGTTTATGTTTTTGTGTGAATGTCCAAAACTAATTAATATTTAATCGTTTTGCTTCGAGCGCAAACGCGGAGAGGAAATGATAGTGTATCGTTTGGGATTTCCTTCCGCGTTCGTTCGTAAATAAATATACCTATATTCATTTTAACCGAAATTTGTGACCGGAGTTACATAAATTTCATAATTTATGTAACGGCCAGTTATTTATGTTCTCTTTTGAATGTTGATTGTCCAATGAAATCGATGGCGTCGGATACAACGGTATGTATGCCACGGTCACCATGATGTCTGGGCACCTCGCGATCTTGTCAGGGTTCAGGGTTGGATGTTTTTGGTTTTAGTAGAGCTCTTATAATTTATTTCACAAATGATCAACTCAAAAATGAACATTTTTAGTTATAATACTATGAAGAAGTCATTTTTTTATTGTTTATATTTCGTCTTGAAGGGCTTCCCTTGCATTGTAGCCGTCCGAATGGAAATGTGTTTATATGAATTTTTTGCTTACCTTGATCTTTATTAATGTGTTTTATAATGATTTGGAAGACTTTTCAACTCATTTTATTACATTTTAATTGTCTTATTTGGACTATTGGTTATGGATGTGATTCAGACCCATCATACGTTATGAATGCAATTAAAAAGGAAATGGTTGATAATTTTGTTTTAATTGCACAAAGGTACAACCCTGATGTAACCTGTAGAACTGGTTCAACATGGAGTGTATATTTGAATCTTACGTAATACGTTTTGCCTGCGTAAGCGATGCATCTTCAGGCATCTTAAAGTTATGCCTTTAGGAAAGCCCTTAAACAGATATGAAATAAAGTCCAATACTTCATTGGGCTTTATTTCACTTTTGATAAATTTTACACCTTTAAAGAACGTTGTAGTAACGAGGCAGTTTCGGGAAATTAAAGTGTGAAGAATTAGCTCGGTTCCACTGTCTGTAATATTTGTACTATGTACTAACTAATCAATTGTAGTTATTGTAGAATACTACTATCCCTTGTACATTTGTTCTTCATCTTTGGTTGTAATGTACTTAATATATTACTGAATATATTTGTATTCAAAATACATCTCGGTCAATAATAAATAAATATCTACAGAAATGATTTTACCTTTAAGGTCTCCGGGCTCACAATTGTTCAAATGATATAAACAATGAAATAAATAAATATTTGAGGATAGTTACAATAGATAATATTAGACAATTTTAAACAACGTTAACTAGCTTACTCCTACTACTAAGCAAAACTTGTGTAATGGGTAGAAAATAAATAATATAGAAATGTATAAATAAATAGAAATTAGATATATATTTATAAACACCCAGCAACTGGTAATGTATTAAACAAATGTAATTGTATTAATTAAAATGTGTGGAAGTATTTTAATGTTTCATCTTAAATGCAGAGATTAGCACTATAAAAATTTTAATTTCCAATTGCATTGAAACAAAAACACGTCTTAGTTCTTTGAAACTGCGGTAGTTTGGTAGGGCCACGCAACAGTCTTCGTTGTTGCACGAATGGGGAGGTCCGTGTCCGGGTAAGTACCACGACCTCGTCGGTGTGAAGCGTTATACTTCTCTTGTATCTTGTATTAACTGATGTTTTTGCTTTCAGTCCCGAGACTATTAAAGCTTCATCTGACGCAGAACCGGTGGGCTAGCCAGAACCCACGGGTTTGGGTCCTCCGCTGTGGGTAGGGCCGCGCATGTACTCATGCGTGCGTTTAACTACGACATGTCATCTAAGGGCCATCGAAGTTTCGGTGCGGACCGAGACCCCGATGGCCGTCGACTGTGTTTTTAGCTAATCGGTAGCTGGGAGCGGTGAGAACCGCCCTGGAACGCGGGTGTACCTTGTGTGTTATATTTCTGCGTTTATTCTGGTGGGTGAGGTAACCCACTTTATTAAAAGGTACGCCATCTGCCACCCCACGGAGGTTGTAAATGTGAAAAGGTGGTGGTTCTTCATTTAACATCAGGTTAACCGCCAGTTCGTTTGTTCGTTCTCGTTCTCACACAAACAAAAAATCTGCGCGTACAAGTTAGTTCAGTATTCTTCTAAATAGATACGGACTTCGAACCATCGTGTATATTGATTCGAATGCTACGAGTATATGTGTATGTGTTATTTTGTTTTGGTATTTCGATCCCACGGAAATTAGCAAATTTTCGTCGTTAATAATAGGTACGGTACCTACCCTATTACGTTACTGTAAATTTATGTATACAATACCGATTAAGGTAATTTTAAAGTCACGTCATCATAAAGTAATATTTGAAGAAGATTCTGACAACAGTATTCGAGTATTCGGGCAAAGGTTATTTATCCATTGCAATTGAATCGTAATTATAGTGAATGACCTATGTTGCAATACAAATCAAACTAACGTGTTCACTTAAAATAATATACATTAAATTTGAAA